TTCTGCGGCAGGAGAGGCCGCGTTGTCCGGATTTGTCCACGAGGGATCCGCACACACAAGTGTGGGGTTCGCAGAGTTGCAGACCCAGTCTACTGCCGATTGAGTTTTTAAGTTGGGCGTCTGTCAACTTGAGGCCGAGGTTCATGGAAGGGAGAGCGGATAGCCATGCAGCCGCTGTTTTTCCCTGGAACGATGTGATTCTTTGCTTACCGGGGTCGTCGAGTTTGCTAATGAGCGCGTCGCGTGATGCTTCGTAGAGGGGCAACGACCAGCTTTTCTGGTAGCAGGGGTTTTCTGGGGAAGCCACGATACCAGTTGATTCAGACCACAATGCAAACGCCACGTTGAAGGGCTCCTCGTCGATGTCGGTGTCCCAAAGAATATGAAATTGCGCGCGGAATGCCAAGGTAGTTGCTTTTGAGATGCCGATGCCTCCGAGGTGGGCTGGAAGACTGGCCTGATCTAATGATAACTCGTTAAACTGTAAATTAGAAATGTCGCACAACATGCTTGCGATAATATCATCATAGCTCTTCAAGAGATCGGGCTGAGTGAAAGTAGGTGAACACCTGAGGAAATATGTGAGTTTAGGGATACTGAAGCAGTTTTTGAGGAGGAACAGAGCTACATGTGAGTCTAGAGATTTGAGAGTCCCTTGCAGCTTCTGTAGAATTTCAGACTTTTGAGTCAGGGTAGTCCGAATCGCGTCCTCGCCGATGCCCGCACTGAGGATACACAACTCGGATTTCGGGATAATCTCGCTGTCGGGGCAAATGTCGTCGAAAGCCGCATGAATCTTCCCTCGTGTTTCTTGGTCTGGGTTTCCAAGGAAGATCAACTCGCACTTGGATGGGTGAACTTTGAGACCGAGGAGGGCCGCTTGCGAGATGATGCGTTAAAGGTCGCACAGCACTTTCTGGTAGTGATCCCCGATGTTACCATCATCTAAGTACCAGAAATTCAGCTTTGACACCAAGGAGTGGATTAGTTCGTTGATGGATTCACAGAATAGAGGAGGACCTTCCGGGTCTCCTTGCTGGGCACCTTCTTCGGAGAGGATGATTGTGTCCCCGTAGAAAAGGAATGAATTGACGCCATATGCTGATAGAGTGTAAGGATACAGAGAAGGGTTGTTTGAATGGACCGCTTTCAGTGCGGCTTCGCGTTTCAGGGAGTTGAAGGCGTTTTTGAAGTCGATCTTCACCAAAACGTGCTCATCAGTTATCTGAGCGGACTTGATGAAACTCCTGGTTGCATGGTCCGCTGCCTCGGCTCCATTCCGGAGAACAAAACCGAGTTGGGTTGTGCCGAAGCGACTCTGCCTATCAAGTTTCGTAGCGTTGCTTGCCCATTTGGAAGCTATTCGGCGGATTGTGTTGCCAACTGCGATTGGCCGAAGGCCTCCGTCTTTCTTGGCCAAGGTGAACAGGTTGGCTCCGAAAAAATATGGGCGGAAGGCTGTGGAAACATTTCCTGCCAGGATGATGTTGATAAGTTTGGTGAAGACTTTGATGAAATTCTTTCCTGCTACTCCATTTTGCTCGCCGATGATATCTTTGAGAATCTGGGGGCGTAGCTTGTCAGGGCCTCCTGCTGAGCCTGCAGGAAAAGTTTTTATGGCCAAGAGTACTGCTTGTTCGTCGATCTGCAACGGATTGGAGGTCGCGCTGGGGAGGTCAGCCCCGGATAAAGTTCAGTTAGGGTGTTTCTCTTTCAACTTTGCAACATTCTCTTTGGTCGGTTCAGCCATTGACTCATTGCCAGATGCGATACGAATAGCGCATTTCACGCACCATCTTCAAGTTTGCTGTTGATGAGAGATGATATGGTGGTGTCTGGTTTCTTTTTTCCGCGGTTGGGGGAGTCGACTTTGAAGTTAGCGACTGTGTCGCGACAGTAACTGTTCAGTTTTTTGTTGACTGTGGTGACTAAGTTGTTTTGTCGCTTCTTTCCACCTCTCGGCAGGGCTCCAAGGCAAACGGTGAAAACACTGTGTAAGAGTATCCAACTCTCAATATCCTCAGGGTTCTCCAGTACAGGCTCAATAAGGCGAGTCAACACAACTGCCATTGAGTTTCGGCTGCCCTTTGGTACCCGCTTTAGGATGGCTGCATTGCAACTGCACAGCTCGGCGAACTTCTTCAGGAGAGGGTGGTCTTGAGGGGGCGAGCGTAGGCCCTCCTGATCCGGGGGTGGGTCAGGAGGGTCTACGCTCGGCGTTGGAGAGGTGCGATAGACCCAGGGCTGTAGTTCTCCGATCCATTTCTTGCTGAGCATTGAGCCTGAGTTTATACGCCAGGTGGCTTTCCAGCCCTTGATGCAAATTGCGGAAGTGTGCACCCATTTGACTTCGGGAATGTTCGGCCACTTCACGCAAACAAATGATCCTTTGTTGTCGATTTTGGTGCATGCCTCTGCAGGAAAGTCGATGCTCGGGGGGTCGTTCGGGTGCGATTTCCTTGTACAGGACATCCCGTCGCGTGGTTCTGATAATGCGTCCTCGGCTTTTGAATTGAAACAAAAATTGAAAACTAACTACAAAAATCAAATTTGAGCGGTAACAAATGTCAACACTTTTACTGAAAACAAAAGAAACACGACACAAATAAATGTGGTCACTTCACTCATTAACACTTTATCTTAAGAACAAAAGCAATCACACCAAATAAATCAGCTTTGAGTGAAAAACTCTATGATATGACGCTAAAGCACAGATTTTTTGCTATGATATTTTTCTGAACCCATTTCTGGTTTGATAGAACTCCGATGAAAAAACTCTGCTTATTCAATGATCTAGAATTGCAAATTTGGCTACGTTTAACCATCGATGCAGTTTTCTATGCCGGATCTACATTTATGTTCTGTATCTCTAATTTGCTTTAAGATGCTGAGCAGAGCTCATTTGATCTCGCCATTGATCTAGTCCCATTCGATTTTGACAAAAACATCGTCTAAACAAAGCTAATGGCCACATTGTAAAACTGTTTTTATTTATCAAAGACGTGGATGAAAAACAGAAAATTTGAAATTTGCTATTAAACACCGATTGCCTGAGATATTAATCCTTTTGTCTGCCCGGAAAAGAAAGGGGTAAAAGTTAAATATACCAAAACGACGCACAATTCGGCCGACAAAACAACAAGACTGCTTTCAAGACTTCTGAAAAAATTCATCACGACCGATATAAGTGTCTTCACTACATATATCGACTTCTAATCAGACAAACGATAGGCCGACAATATTTTTCGAAGCGGGGCGTTTTCAGTTCAAAAACACCTTTGCCGCCCTATGTGTAGTCGTTACGTTACCTCTTGGCCAAGTTTGCCGCAGAAGCCAAAAAAAATTTATTTATAAATCAAAATCAAGCCATTTTGTGATTTTCCTCTGGGACACCGAAAGAGAAAAACTAGCTCAATGTCTGAAGGTCGGTTGCGATATATTTAAATTTAAGCAGTTTCGACTCAACGCAAAATTTAACGAAGATATAAAAAGTTTCAAGTTTTGTTGCCAGTCAATTCACAGTCATTTGGAATTCGAAACAACTACGTCTAATTCGTCACCTTTCGAATTCTTCTTCGTGTCATTTGATGTAAAAATTATGGCAGCCGCCGACGATATTTCGCTTTTAATATCGGCTTCCTTCGATAGTTGATTCGTGCATCGATCACAGGTAAACAGCAGACCTCCAATTACGGCCGAAAAACAGATCAACAATATACAAACGAGCCCAACAAGTAACAAAAGCATGATTGAAATGTAACCTTTGAACAATGTAAAAAGTAATTAGTGTTTTAAGCTAATCTACAATGTTTGGGAGAATATGTCTGTCATATTTTGATGGCCCACTTATTTTTATTTGTGCCAGATAATCACATTTGTCATCAAATAAATTCTGGTAAAATCAATCAAACACAGAGCTTTACCAACCAAAAGAATAAAATGATAATGCTCCAAACTATGTGTGCATCAGCGAATGAAACTTTTTGCGCGTTATAAAACGAAATCTAAAAACCCAATAAAAACTCAGACCTGAAATTCACTTATAAAAACAGTATTTCAATATAATAGTTTAATTCGGTTTCCTAGTTTCAAACAGCAATTCACTATTTTGAAAACAAAATTCTTTTGAAAACAAAATTACAAGCCACGCAAGGACTTTTTAGGCCAAGATTCGATATTGTTCGGTTCCCTTCAAAAATAGTCGTGGTGTTGGTCTTGAACTTGAGCCGAATACTCCGGTGGCGGAATCAACGGCGACCTCAAAGAAGTGTCCCGCTGGTCCACGAAACACTTCTCATTCTGGCCTTTGACCTTCTTGCATATGGAGGCTATTGCATAGGTAACTAATATGCAGAAAGCGACCAACAGAATTGCCAATGAGGCGATAATAAGGGCCATGATAAGAGCTCTCAAAACTTGCAAGTTAAGAAAGACATGCCAATCACCAGATTTCGGCATGACATTACCCATTTTATAAAAAAATATATATGTATTACAACTTTAGCAAGTCAATATTACCTAAAAAACTCAGACTGCAATACGAGCAGAATTTTTTAATGAGAGCAAAAGTCATCAAAACTTCAAATAACATATGATGGCTGATTTCGAAGCATAAATAAAGCTCGCAGTCGCAGTATAAGTAAGAGTACCATGTGCGTTAACTAAGGCAACAAGAAACAGTATTAATTAACTATAGCTACCGTTACTAAGGCAAACTACTGTCGATGTCGCAAATATCCTAATAATTTCCAGGAAGATACAAAGAAGAGCCTTCGGAATCGCAAACCTTTTTAACTATCATTTCAGAACCTGAATCAGACTGACATGAAATTTGTTTCAATACAGTTCGAGATTTTTTTTCATGTAACAGATGTAGAAAAATGACGTGAATGACCCAAGGTTATAGTTTCTTTCAACTACGTCAAGTGGACAGAACAAAAATTGTTGTTCTCATTAAAATTGCCTGAAATACGCCGGCATTAAAAATAAATATTACTTACAAGTTGTACCACTTTCAGAGCTCCTTTGGGAAGAGCCAACACTTCTAAGTTGAAAGATGACGAGCTCTGAAATGTCAGAAAGCACTGTCATCACTTGGCTTTGAATAGACCGAACTATTCGACGCTCAAATAAGAAAATAATTTAATGTTTCAAAACGTATTTCAAAAGGCGTTTCTTTGCTTATTAATTTTTACAAAAATTTCAAAACATACTACAAAAGACTGAACTTAACTTACTTGTATAGCTCGCAGTCCCGAGGAGACGTTATCCATGCTTGTCTGAAATATATTTTACCATAAACAATAGCTGTTCATTGGGCAAGTGAAACGTACCCTGAAAACAAACCTATTATATAACAAAGTTTTTTTAGCCCGCGGCGCAGAAAATTATAGTGTTCTAGGAGCGCGCGGAAAATCAATTTGGTCAACATTAAAAAAAGTCATCAAAATTTGAAAATCCGTAAATTTTTTGAACATCGATTTAAAATATCCGAAAAAACTGAAAATTATCTGCATTTCAAACGCTTTTTTCTCAAACTGGGTTGACTTCAGATAAGAAGTGACGATGAAAAGGTGCTTGTAATTGTGCATAATACAATTAGTCTGAATTGTTCCGTTTAAGTCCAACCATAAAATTCAAAACTTAGATTGAACAAGCGTCTTAGAAATCCAACTAAATTTGAACAAGATGTACTGGGCGGAATCAACAGCGACCTCAAAGAAATGTCCTGCTGCTCCACGAAACACTTCTCATTCTGACTTTTATCCTTTTTGCATATGGAGACTATTGCATAGGTAACTAATATGCAGAAAGCGACCTTCAAAATTGCCAGAACTGAAAGTTTTTACACACAAGTAATTTATTCAACGGAGTCTTCGATAATATATCCATCTTGGATTTTGTTACGCCAAGAAAGACGGCCATTTTGGTATAAAAAATTTGAAATTGTCCTTAGTTTTTCTTGTACTTTTATTAAGGAAATTCATCAAGCCGGATAAGATCAGTAAAAAATTATCTCAAAATCAGGTCCGCAAGTAAACATTAAGCATGAGAAGTCAATGATTTATTTTATAATTTTGAAGTCCATTTTCACGACTATTGTATTGCCGTTTAGGTATTAATAGGAGCTTTTCAAAACAGAGGCGAAGATGGGCTTGGCACCACTTGCGATACAAATGACGAAAACCGCTCAGTGTTGGTGCAATTAGATCGAACAAAATGAATAGGCAAATTTTGAAAGATAGACAATATAATGTGAAATTAGCATCGAAAGAAAAATTACAAAGCGGTTAGAAAGCCGAAAAGAGCTCAGCAGAAACCCTTTAGAGCGAAAAAAAATCAATAAAATTTAAGACTTATAAAGAGTCCCTTTACTCTTCAAAATTAATAAGCTCCCTGCTCCTAAAAAAACTTTATGTGTAAGCTCCCTGCACACACAAAAAACTTTATTTAATTGCCAAATGAAACAAAATGAAGCCACTAAGCCGATATAACTGAGGCGAAAATAAGACTAATAAAAAATATTAGGTCCACCTCACCCTCAAAACAAAGATACGCATACAAAGACTTTTTGTCACTCGTCGAAAGAGGCAATATGAGGCCATTAAGCCGATATAACATAAACCAAAACTTAACAAGCCGAAAAAAGGCAAAATCTGAAAAAATCTTGCCAAAGGAAAAATTTGATCTATAATTCGTATTAAGATTTTTTTAGCATTTGGCGCAATCCAGAGAGGAGCTCAAAAGTTATCTTTTAGTTCTTATAACTACTAAACAAGATATCACTAAGCCGATAAAATATCAGCTGAAATCATTTGAGGCAGAAAAGTTTTTCGACAAAAAAAAACAAAAAAAGAAAACACACGAAGTTCGCGTTAGTAAAAATACTAACAGCAGAAATAAATCAGAACACTTAAAGCAAATACAATGTTAATTATGAACAGCAAAAAATTCTTCGATGAGGCAGGCAAAACATAAGCAGACAAATAATCAGCCGACAATTTTTGTGAAATGGACAATTTCCTGTTTAAAAAAACAGGCCCTGATATATTCGAACTCAGGACCTTTGTTTCCAAGGCTAAGTGTGCCGGGAACGCTAAAAAATCTGATCAACATTATGAACTGAAATTAAAGTTACCATTTCTACTTTCGACCATTCTGTGAACAACGTTATTTACGGAAAAAATTAAGTCTAGTATCCGATTGCAATACCCTTGCTTAACGCAAAGGTAATCGAAATCAATACTCCTAACGGGCAAATATAGTTTTGGTTAACTTAAAAGTAACCTGATAACTGAAACGCAATTCTCCAAATGAAAATATCTCCAAATCTGTGGTCTTTTCAGGGAAAACAACATATAATTATTTACAATTCATTATAAAATTCGACTTGCTCCACGAAATAATTCTCATTCTGACTTTTAACCTTTTTGCATATGGAGACTTTTGCATAGGTAACAAATATGCAGAAAGCGACCTTCAAAACTGCCAGAACTGAAAGATTTTACAAACAAGTATTTTATTCCACGGAGTCTTTGATAATATATCCATCTTGGATTTTGTTAAGCCAAGAAAGATGGCCATTTTGTTATAAAAAAAATTGAAAATGTCCTTAGTTTTTCTTGTACTTTTATTAAGGAAATTCATCAAGCCGGATAAAATCAGTAAAACATTCTCTCAAAATCAGGTCCGCAAGTAAACATTAAGCATGAGAAGTCAATGATTTATTTCATAATTTTGAAGTCCATTAGGTATTAATAGGAGCTTTTCAAAACAGAGGCGAAGATGGGCTTGGCACCACTTGCGATACAAATGACGAAAACCGCTCAGTGTTGGTGCAATTAGATCGATCAAAATGAATAGGCAAATTTTGAAAGATAGACAATATAATGTGAAATTAGCATCGAAAGAAAAATTACAAAGCGGTTAGAAAGCCGAAAAGAGCTCAGCAGAAACCCTTTAGAGCGAAAAAAAATCAATAAAATTTAAGACTTATAAAGAGTCCCTTTACTCCTCAAAATTAAGAAGCTCCCTGCTCCTAAAAAAACTTTATGTGTAAGCTCCCTGCACACACAAAAAACTTTATTTAATTGCCAAATGAAACAATATGAAGCCACTTAGCCGATATAACTGAGGCGAAATTAAGACTAATAAAAAATATTAAGTCCACCTCACCCTCATAACAAAGAGACGCATACAAAGACTTTTTGTCACTCGTCGAAAGAGGCAATATGAGGCCATTAAGCCGATATAACATAAACCAAAACTTAACAAGCCGAAAAAAGGCAAAATCTGAAAAAATCTTGCCAAAGGAAAAATTTGATCTATAATTCGTATTAAGATTTTTTAGCATTTGGTGCAATCCAGAGAGGAGCTCAAAAGTTATCTTTTAGTTCTTATAACTACTAAACAAGATATCACTAAGCCGATAAAATATCAGCTGAAATCATTTGAGGCAGAAAAGTTTTTCAACAAAAAAAAACAAAAAAAGAAAACACACGAAGTTCGCGTTAGTAAAAATACTAACAGCAGAAATAAATCAGAACACTTAAAGCAAATACAATGTTAATTATGAACAGCAAAAAATTCTTCGATGAGGCAGGCAAAACATAAGCAGACAAATAATCAGCCGACAATTTTTGTGAAATGGACAATTTCCTGTTTAAAAAAACAGGCCCTGATATATTCGAACTCAGGACCTTTGTTTCCAGGCTAAGTGTGCCGGGAACGCTAAAAAATCTGATCAACATTATGAACTGAAATTAAAGTTACCATTTCTACTTTCGACCATTCTGTGAACAACGTTATTCACGGAAAAAATTAAGTCTAGCATCCGATTGCAATACCCTTGCTTGACGCAAAGGTAATCGAAATCAATACTCCTAACGGGCAAATATAGTTTTGTTTAACTTAAAAGTAACCTGATAACTGAAACGCAATTCTCCAAATGAAAATATCTCCAAATCTGTGGTCTTTTCAGGGAAAACAACATATAATTATTTACAATTCATTATAAAATTCGACTTGCTCCACGAAACACTTCTCATTCTGACCTTTAACCTTTTTGCATAGGGAGACTATTGCATAGGTAACAAATATGCAGAAAGCGACCTTCAAAATTGCCAGAACTGAAAGTTTTTACACACAAGTATTTTATTCCACGGAGTCTTTGATAATATATCCATCTTGGATTTTGTTAAGCCAAGAAAGATGGCCATTTTGTTATAAAAAACTTGAAATTTTCCTTAGTTTTTCTTGTACTTTTATTAAGGAAATTCATCAAGCCGGATAAAATCAGTAAAAAATTCTCTCAAAATCAGGTCCGCAAGTAAACATTAAGCATGAGATGACAATGATTTATTTCATAATTTTGAAGTCCATTAGGTATTAATAGGAGCTTTTCAAAACAGAGGCGAAGATGGGCTTGGCACCAATTGCGATACAAATGACGAAAACCGCTCAGTGTTGGTGCAATTAGATCGATCAAAATGAATAGGCAAATTTTGAAAGATAGACAATATAATGTGAAATTAGCATCGAAAGAAAAATTACAAAGCGGTTAGAAAGCCGAAAAGAGCTCAGCAGAAACCCTTTAGACCGGAAAAAAATCAATAAAATTTAAGACTTACAAAGAGTCCCTTTACTCCTCAAATTCATTAAGCTCCCTGCTCCTAAAAAAACTTTATGTGTAAGCTCCCTGCACACACAAAAAACTTTATTTAATTGCCAAATGAAACAAAATGAAGCCACTAAGCCGATATAACTGAGGCGAAAATAAGACTAATAAAAAATATTAAGTCCACCTCACCCTCAAAACAAAGATACGCATACAAAGACTTTTTGTCACTCGTCGAAAGAGGCAATATGAGGCCATTAAGCCGATATAACATAAACCAAAACTTAACAAGCCGAAAAAAGGCAAAATCTGAAAAAATCTTGCCAAAGGAAAAATTTGATCTATAAGTCGTATTAAGATTTTTTAGCATTAGGTGCAATCCAGAGAGGAGCTCAAAAAATATGTTTTAGTCCTTATAACTACTAAACAAGATATCACTATGCCGATAAAATATCAGCTGAAATCATTTGAGGCAGAAAAGTTTTTCAACAAAAAAAAACAAAAAAAGAAAACACACGAAGTTCGCGTTAGTAAAAATACTAACAGCAGAAATAAATCAGAACACTTAAAGCAACTACAATGTTAATTATGAACAGCAACAAATTCTTCGATGAGGCAGGCAAAACATAAGCAGACAAATAATCAGCCGACAATTTTTGTGAAATGGACAATTTCCTGTTTAAAAAACAGGCCCTGATATATTCGAACTCAGGACCTTTGTTTCCAGGCTAAGTGTGCCGGGAACGCTAAGAAATCTGATCAACATTATGAACTGAAATTAAAGTTACCATTTCTACTTTCGACCATTCTGTGAACAACGTTATTTACGTAAAAAAGTAAGTCTAGTATCCGATTGCAATACCCTTGCTTAACGCAAAGGTAATCAAAATCAATACTCCTAACGGGCAAATATAGTTTTGGTTAACTTAAAAGTAACCTGATAACTGAAACGCAATTCTCCAAATGAAAATATCTCCAAATCTGTGGTCTTTTCAGGGAAAACAACATAATTATTTACAATTCATTATAAAATTCGACTTGCTCCACGAAACACTTCTCATTCTGACCTTTAACCTTTTTGCATATGGAGACTATTGCATAGGTAACAAATATGCAGAAAGCGACCTTCAAAATTGCCAGAACTGAAAGTTTTTACACACAAGTATTTTATTCCACGGAGTCTTTGATAATATATCCATCTTGGATTTTGTTAAGCCAAGAAAGATGGCCATTTTGTTATAAAAAACTTGAAATTGTCCTTAGTTTTTCTTGTACTTTTATTAAGGAAATTCATCAAGCCGGATAAAATCAGTAAAAAATTCTCTCAAAATCAGGTCCGCAAGTAAACATTAAGCATGAGAAGTCAATGATTTATTTCATAATTTTGAAGTCCATTAGGTATTAATAGGAGCTTTTCAAAACAGGGGCGAAGATGGGCTTGGCACCAATTGCGATACAAATGACGAAAACCGCTCAGTGTTGGTGCAATTAGATCGATCAAAATGAATAGGCAAATTTTGAAACATAGACAATATAATGTGAAATTAGCATCGAAAGAAAAATTACAAAGCGGTTAGAAAGCCGAAAAGAGCTCAGCAGAAACCCTTTAGACCGGAAAAAAATCAATAAAATTTAAGACTTATAAAGAGTCCCTTTACTCCTCAAATTTATTAAGCTCCCTGCTCCTAAAAAAACTTTATGTGTAAGCTCCCTGCACACACAAAAAACTTTATTTAATTGCCAAATGAAAAATGAAGCCACTAAGCCGATATAACTGAGGCGAAAATAAGACTAATAAAAAATATTAAGTCCACCTCACCCTCAAAACAAAGATACGCATACAAAGACTTTTTGTCACTCGTCGAAAGAGGCAATATGAGGCCATTAAGCCGATATAACAAACCAAAACTTAACAAGCCGAAAAAAGGAAAAATCTGAAAAAACCTTGCCAAAGGAAAAATTTGATCTATAAGTCGTATTAAGATTTTTTAGCATTAGGTGCAATCCAGAGAGGAGCTCAAAAATTATGTTTTAGTCCTTATAACTACTAAACAAGATATCACTATGCCGATAAAATATCAGCTGAAATCATTTGAGGCAGAAAAGTTTTTCAACAAAAAAAAACAAAAAGAAAACACACGAAGTTCGCGTTAGTAAAAATACTAACAGCAGAAATAAATCAGAACACTTAAAGCAACTACAATGTTAATTATGAACAGCAAAAAATTCTTCGATGAGGCAGGCAAAACATAAGCAGACAAATAATCAGCCGACAATTTTTGTGAAATGGACAATTTCCTGTTTAAAAAACAGGCCCTGATATATTCGAACTCAGGACCTTTGTTTCCAGGCTAAGTGTGCCGGGAACGCTAAGAAATCTGATCAACATTATGAACTGAAATTAAAGTTACCATTTCTACTTTCGACCATTCTGTGAACAACGTTATTTACGGAAAAAATTAAGTCTAGTACCCGATTGCAATACCCTTGCTTATCGCAAAGGTAATCAAAATGAATACTCCTAACGGGCAAATATGGTTTTGGTTAACTTAAAAGTAACCTGATAACAGAAACGCAATTCTCCAAAAAAACTTATCTCCAAATCCGTGGTCTTTTCAGGTAAAACAACATATAATTATTTACATTTCATTAGAAAATTCGATTTTCACTAATTATCATAACTTACTGACCAAAAATGGGATTTATACATAAATTGTAACGAGAAACAATGATTCTAAATCTGTATAACTCACCTTTTTTCAAATAAAGTCTTTGTATATATATCTATCAAATCACTTTTCCAGAAATGAAAATAATTCATGTGCATGGAAAACAGAAGAAAAGTAATAATTTGGATTTTACTTTAAAAAGAATCAATTGAGCAATTTTTCAATATTATCAGTTAAATCAGTTTTTGCGCTCTAACTACGGTTCTAATTACACAAAATGGGTTCCTTGTTTCACCCTTATAATATAAATAACTTGAAAAACAGCTCGTTTTGATAATTTCGGCCACTTTCGTCGGCCACGAAATGATATTCAATATTAATAATTACACCTAATTGAGGCTAATCTACTAAAAACAAGTCTTTTAAAAATTATAACATTTGCAGAACAAATGCACAATTGCGAGATGAAAAGGAATAGAAACGAAATCGTGAAACATGGTAATATTAATATTAAAGCATTGTAACTATTTGTTAAACTATTTTAAGGCACTATTTTTTAAGCTCTGGAAAAAATAGACAGCATCACAATTCGTCAAGTATCAAAATTTGATTTTCTTTAAACTAGTTCGCTCATAGTATTTCTCAGGAAAGAAAGAAAAAAATGTATTTATCCAACAATGCTAGCATCAAAAAAAATGCAGAGAACGTACAAAAAAGCACCTGAAAATTAGACATTTAGCTAAATATGAAAGCCGCAAAAGGCACAAGAGACGTCTAAATTACAGTTAATAGCACACTTTTTAGTTCACTCTGAGAGACTAAAAAGACTTAATTACTTATAATCAGGTTATGTTTTAGTGATACGCCGGCCTTAAAGCCCTAGTGGATTGGACAGCAGTAATTCTATTAGCTCGCAACTAATTCTTGCAGTACGTGATCAGTATATTGGGCCGGCTTAATTTCCCGTGAGCACAAATTACACTGAACCAGATCCACATCCTTGTCTCCACTGGTGTCCATGGCAATGACACCTGGAACATCCAATAATGACCATTAAAAAATAGCAAATTGAAACGTCAAATGGCAAAATTAAGCAAAAAACAAATCAAGGAAAAGTTATAATTTAATTTGCACAGCTAGCATATAAATAGGTGATAAGTTCAAGTTCCCAGTTGGAAAGCGAACTTGTTAAGAATAATTGTGTCGGACAGTAGCGGATTAAGCGGGGGGAGCCGACGCCCCCCCCCCCCCCCCCCCCCTCAGGGATTCGACCCCCTGCCGACCCAAAGGGTCCCCCTTCGTACTATTTTGAGATATCCATTTGTGGCTGACTGACCTTAAATTTTTCTAAAGGCGCCAATCTATACTAATTTTGAGGGGAGAGCGCGCGCCGCAAAAATGCGATTTTTTGGTCAAAATTTTCCAAAAAAAGCCTAAAAACGCCTTTTTTTTCAAAAATTAGCCTGCGGCGCAGAAATTTTTCTCAAATTTGATCTTTATAGTGTTTTGGGAGAGCTGAGATAATCAATTTGGTCGAACTCAAAAAAAAAGGTTTTCTGAAAATCCGCCCCTCCCCCTAGAGAAATTCCTAGATCCGCGCCTGGTGTCGGGGGTTATTTTCATGAAGATAGCAGAAAAAATTAAATTGAATTTTTTTCTTCCTTATTTTAAATTCTATTATTTATTCATTCAAATAGTCATCACTGACCTGGGGCCAATTTCACGTCTACTTTGCTCAACCTGTCCATTCTCTGGTGAACGATCCCTTCTAAATGAAGTCTGAAATTCTGCTGTCCACAAATCATAACTCCCTTACACAACTGACAATCAAACTGCTTCTTCTGATACTGTTTCGATACCGGTTTCACCAACTCTGAAATCTTTTCGACCACATTCTTATGCTGAATTGAGAAAAGATGAGCTTGGTATTCGCTTTCGCTCACAAATACCAGCTGACAGCAGACACATGCAACTTTTTCTTTCTCTGCCTTGGCAACAGATGCCTCGCTTCCACCGACATTCGCAGATCCGTCACTAATTCCGGTGGCTCCCCGCAATTGATTTTCTTTTGATTTTTTAACCTTGGGTTTTGGGTTCCATTTAGCCTTGACACGCTTTACGTGATCTTTTCCTTTCAAATGTCGCTCAAACATTCTGGCCCCGTTGAAACTCTTCGGCCGACAGACGGGGCAAACTATAACTTTCTCGCCACCGTCGCCTTTGAAATCATTTATTTTGCCTTCAATCCGTATATTGTGCTCAACGTCTCCCAGATGCGTTTCGATTTCTGCGCTAGTTTTGAACTCTACGTTACATTTATCACACATGCCAATTGGCTCGCTCGGTTCTTTTCCGAATCTAGACTCGATTCCGTTTGAATTGGCCGCGCCGCTTTGAGCACAAGTTGAACTTTTCTCCGCGCTCGCGGGTCGCATACAGATTTGGCCGGTGGGCAATTTTGGCCCCTTGTAAACTTCAACTTCGTCGTAATTACGCTTCGCTTGTTCCAGATTTCTCAAACTCTTTTTGTGCTTTTTACCATTATCGTGCTGAGAAATATTTTCCGACCCTGTTATATTAACTTTGCACAATTCACAGAATTTAACTACAGGTGCTGTTTTTCCAACCTTTTTCAGGTGGCCTTTGCTTTGCAAATGTAACGACTTGTCACTTTCATCTGGAACTTTAGTCCCGCAGACTTTGCACATAAACATCCATTTGTTGTTTTCATTGTCCGAGTACTGAAGGAAATCGTCAACAGTTTCTGCAATGGTCGAATTTGAAACCGAAATCATTTCTGTATCATTTCCAGTAGTCGCTGACGATTCATAAAGAGTATTCGTTCCTTTTCGCTCCGCTTCCGGTTTTCGCGAATCTTCCATGTTTTGATCAAAATTGCTATCCACAACACTCACCGAAACATTCGTCGATAACTTTTCAGATTCCAAAACTGAGCTACTGGAGTTTCCATCTGTTATTGTTGGGTATTCAGTTTTGCGTGGACTAAACTCGTTCATGAATCTCCAAGATAAGGAGTAAAAATGATCCTTTTCGGCTTCAATGTGATTTCTACTTCGAATATGAGCAAACATACTCTCATTTTGTAGCATCGAATCACACGTCGGACATTTCTGATCCTTTTTTACTTCTTTGGAAGCAGAAAGTTTAGTCCGGATAAACTCCAATGTCAACCTCTCCGTAACATCTTTCTTCAGCTTATCAGGGATCATGAAAGTGACTCCCAAATCGAGTGCTGAACTCAACTTCCAAAGCTGAAAATTGTCGAAAATTTCCAGTAGATTGATATTTGAGTTCGTATCCCACGAAACGCATAACATATGCAGTTCTCCGCATAAGTGCTTCAAAGAGAGTAAATGTTTCGCCATATTCGACGAGGTATGAAATGTTTCTTCGCAAGTTTCGCACTTGTAACTCATCGTTGATCAATCTCAGTCAGTAGATTTTCTTACATCAAATCTAACAAGTCAGAACTCCTTAATCATGTCCGTAGTAATGTCATATTTGTGAAACACAATAACGAAAATATTAACGAGATCAATAATACATAGAAGCGAATCAAAGACGAAGAAAATTTAAAATGAGAAATTCAAAATTGTATGCTTATCAGCAAAAATTATCAGCAAAAAAGTAGGCAAAGCAACAATTTCGTTTCGCTTAAATTTCAATTTCAATTAAAACTTAAATTTGGCTGCTCTGCATTAAATTCCAAAGACTACGAGTACGAGCGATGACACCATTTGTAAATCGCACATAATGACGAAAGTTTCAAAACACCTATTTTGAGATTTATTTTTCAAAATAAGTCGAACATTTACAAATATCGAACGTTTTAACTTTTTTTTTCATTTTCATCAAGAGGGTCTGTGAGTTTGATTAAGTCTTTTCGATGTTTTTTCAGAGTTCAATAATTCTCACATGATATCAAAAAAAAAACGGATTAAAAATCGGCGACCTCCAGCGCTGATAACCTTGCGCCAATCTTCGGCACCAAAAATTACTTTGCAAGTCTTGACGTGCGCCAAAGGTAGATATGCAACCAATACATTAGACATACTATGGACTCAGCAGTTGATATCATTTTATATACCGATTAAATTTTCGTTCATTCTGAGAACAAAATTGTTAACGGGAAAAAGTCTGCCACCCGATAGCAACTAACTTGATTATCGCAAAGGTTCAGATTTCGTCTTTTTTAAGAGAAGACGTGAGGAGAAGATGTTAAGCAATGCCTAAAATGAAAAATGCTTACGCGACGAAAGAAGTCTGCTGGTCGAACTGCACCACATAAAGACTATCGATACAAATAAGGACTCAACTAATCCAATTTTGACTTTAAATTAGCCCCAAAACTCATTTTTTTTCTTCGAAAACCGCTTTAAACTTTTTTATCACACCTCGAATGACACTTTAGAGACTTGAAAAAGATGCAGAGGAATCGCCTAACAGTTCAAGTCAAAGTTCGATAAGCGAGAAAAATCTTAATGAATGTTTGATATTTTATCCCCGAAAGATACTTGTGAACAATTTGTACAACAAATTGAGCAAAAATGAGATTCGCAAATATTTAATTGCAGGAGCGAGATAATTTTGCAAGACTAAAAACTATTGCAATGAAAAACGATGGAAACGTTGGCAAATATTTCATATCACACAAACCCCATGGCATTTAAGAATAAATCTTCAGGGAGCAGCAACAGATTCTAAGCAGCTATATTAAATCGTTATCAATCAATTGAATATAACTCAATCAATAATTAACATGTCAATCAATAATTATTTGCCTATTATACCTGTTGACAATGTCTTGATGAGTACAACAATCACAGCCAAACCAATGAAAAAACAACCAAAAATCTGCTCAACCAAGATGTAAGCCAGAAAAAAGCAAATCACCGTCCGATTTCTCAAAACCAGTGGATTCAAACTGTCACCTCTAAATCTGAGCGCAATCATATAGCACTGACCGCATTTTGAGAACAATTATATTGGTGTCATGTTTTAATTCTGATGACACATTTTAACCCTCGTCAACAAAACAAAGCAAAAATATGATAATTTTTGGCAACCTTTTTTCCAAGTCTTTTCATCAGTCTCAAAAAACTTGAAGATGATTAAAAGTTTTAACGTGAAGTTAAAATTTTTCTCAATATGCGGCGGTTTCAAATCCGAAAAATTGCTCCAAAGCTTCAGAGTCTCAAGCAGAGCGTTAACGCAAATATTCAACACTGCCTAAGCTGAACTTCACACACGCCAGCGATCAAAACCGTAAAAAAGGAATAAAATGCAAGATAGGGCGAAAAAAACTACAAAGAAAACAAGCCTTATACAGAAGAAAAGCTACACTTCTCAAACACAAGCGACAAATGGCTAAGATGCAGCTTGAAAATTAAAAAGAAATAGGTAAAAAAATAAACATAATAATCGAGCATGCAACATAACTGCCCTGCGCAACTATGATACTGCTGCATAAAGGAGTGAAGCATTAGCTAATGATAAAACGGAGCACCCATTGTATTAAACTGTGAAGCAATATCATACTGCTTTTTAAAAACACCAGGCAGAACTTAGTGGTCTTCAATTAGCCGGATACAACTCAAGATGTGGAGTTACAGTAAACCGATTTTTCAGTAAATTACCAGACCAGTAAACCAATTTACGTAATAATTACATCAATTGCCGAATTAAAAATTTATAGAATAAATGTTTCCTCAGCTGAAAAAACTTATTTTAAAACTATGGTGAGCACGAGAAGAGTTATTTCACGCCATTTTTTAAAATTAAATTTTCGTTCTGAGGAAAAAATTTAGCCAAAATCTCAGTTTTTAGCTAATGTGAATACCTAATTGAATCATTAATTTTCGATTTACTGATCTGGTCCGCCCGTTTTCGGTTTACTGTTATATCAATTTACTGACCTACCAACCAAGTTGTTTAAATAATGCAAAAATTGAACAAAACTGTGCCGTGAATTGTGTAATTTTGATTGGAAAAAACTGGTTTCACAACACAAACTTTGCGGTTTCTTTTGTTCATATTGCAAGCGAAAATGACAATTATTAACTAAGTAATTCACAGAAATTTCTTCACTACAAAGTAATAACCTCAACACAGCGACGAAGATCCACTTCGCATACAAAACCAAAAACATAGTAGAAAACACTCATCTTGTGTCACTTTAACTCAGTTTTTTTCTGACTACTTTCGCAAACTTTCCCTCAACACACTTATTTATAGTCAATAAAAACAGTTCTTGTCTGTCATATTGATAGCATTAAATTGCCTGACTCAATTGAATTTGAATTGAATTCCGAGTCGGATATATATCATGCGTCAACTATCTTTGATTAAACAAGCTCAAACCGCAAAAATTTACGACAATCGACGCTGGTGGAACACTTTTGTAATTTCCAGCTCCAGTGCTTGATATCTTTCAGATGGTAAAAGAAAATTTTTGTAACATAGGCGCTACGCGCAATACACCGAAGGCATAGAAACTGAAGCAAAAACCAAACAACTTGAACAACTAATAATTGAAGAATAACAGTTCTAGAACAAAAAATCGTACTAATACATGTATACACCAAAATTTTGCTATATCGAGAAAGAGCCTGAAATAACAGTTCTAGAACTAAAAATCGTACTAACACATGTATAGGTTAAATTTTTGATATATCAACGAAGATCATAAAATAACATTTCTAGAACTAAAAATCGTACTAACACATGTATACACCAAAATTTTACTATATTGACAAAGAGCCTGAAATAACAGTTCGTGAGCTAAAAATCGTACGAACACATGTATACACCAAAACTTTGCTATATTGGCAAAGATCATGAAATAACAGTTCGAGAGCTAAAAATCGTACTAACACATAAATACGTCAAATTTTTGCTATATTGACAAAGATCATGGAATAACAGTTCTAGAGCTAAAAATCGTACTAACACATGTATACACCAAAATTTTGCTATATTGACAAAGATCATGGAATAACAGTTCGAGAACTAAAAATGGTACTAACACATGTATACAATAAAATTTTGATATATTGACAAAGATCATGAAATAACAGTTCGAGAACTAAAAATCGTAATAACACATGTATACACTAAAATTTTGATATATTGACATAGATCATAAAATAACAGTTCGAGAACTAAAAATGGTACTAACACATGTATACGCTAAAATATTGCTATATTGACGAAGAGCCTGAAATAACAATTCTAGAGCTAAAATCGTACTAACACATGTATACACCAAAATTTTCCTATATTGACAAAGAGCCTGAAATATTGACAAAGGACCTGAAATAACAATCGTAGAACTAAATGTCGTACTTACGCATTGTAGATCAATTTCTATAGCTATAATAAAATACAAAAGATTGTGTTTGTATGTGTAGCAAAACGCCTCCTGTTTTACACCTAATACAAGTATACACAGACCAGTTAATTGAAACTACAGTGTACCTATTACAAGTATACACAGATCAGTTAAACTAAAGAAACTGTGTACCTAATACAAGTATACACGATCAGTTGATTGAAACTACAGTGTACCTAATACAAGTATACACAGCAGTTGAAATAGAAAAACTGTGTACCTAATACAAGTATACACAGACCAGTTGATTGAAACTACAGTGTACCTAATACAAGTATACACAGCAGTTGAAAAAAAACTGTGTACCTAATACAAGTATACACAGACCAGTAATACAAATAAATAAATACATACATAAATAAATAAATAAATAAATAAATAAACGCAAAACTGAAATGTACAAATAATTAAATTAACATGAAAAAATATATATCTCATGAACAAATAACCAAACAAACAGACCCATAATATAAATAAATGAAAGTAAATGAATTAAATAAATACACATACATAAATAATAAAAGCAAAACTAAATGAAAGAAAGAATAATTAAATAAATATAGAAATAAATATCAACAAATAAACAAAACACACCTGATAAATAAATAAGCAATAAAAAAATAAATCAATACATAAATAAATAAATAAATAAATACATAAATGAATACATAAATAAATAAATATATAAATAAATAAAAGTAAAAGTGAAATGTACAAATAATTAAATAGACATGAAAAAAAATATATGAACAAATAACCAAACAAACAGACCCATAATATGAATAAATGAAAATAAATAAATGAAATAAATACACATACATAAATAATAAAAGCAAAACTAAATGAAAGAAAGAATAATTAAATAAATATAGAAATAAATATCAACAAATAAACAAAACACACCTGATAAATAAATAAGCAATAAAAAAATAAATCAATACATAAATAAATAAATAAATACATAAATAAATACATAAATAAATAAATAAATAAATAAAAGCAAAAGTGAAATGTACAAATAATTAAATAGACATGAAAAAATATATATGAACAAATAACCAAACAAACAGACCCATAATATAAATAAATGAAAATAAATAAATTAAATAAATACACACGCAGAAATAATAAAAGCAAAACTAAATGAAAGAAAGAATAATTAAATAAATAAACAAAACACGTGATAAAAATAAACAAAAATAAATATGTACATACATAAATTATAAATAAATATAAGCAAACTAAACATAATTAAATAAATAGAAGAACAGATAATTAAATAAATAAAGATGAACAAATAAAGAAACAAACATACGCAATCACGTGACATAGCGCGATATAGTCCAGCCCACATGATAATTGATAACTGTGGACGTTATTTGTCGACACTTGACAACAGACAACATTAATAAAAAAAACCCGTTACACGATACCATAACACCTTGACCAAAGTCTTCGGTGTAATAAAAAACATGACAAAAAAAAACAACACTCCCAACTAAAAGGAAATTCATTCCTGAAAAAAAAAATACTCCCTATAAAAAAAGGAAGTTCATTCCATTCATTAATACAAAAAACGTAAATTTATTCAGCCAAACTGAAGATAAAAGCTACCATGGAAACAAAAAAAGCATTCAAATAGTATGTCCGCAATTAGTAAAAACCGTTTATTCTTTGCTTCTTGATTCAGTAACACTTCAAAATTTGATTGCACCTTCAGCTTGTGTTCAAATGAATGAGTACTAGCAGAGCCTCGGGAAAACATATTTCGATATTGCTGGAATGTAAAATTTTTCAACAATTTGTTATCAATATTTATTTTGAAATATAAGAAAACACTGATTTAGTTCGAAACATGAATTATAAATATGAAAACCCTGAACAAGTACAATCTTTACAATCTTCTGTAAGCACCATGTTTGCAGAATATGAAACAAATCAATTAAGATTGCTATAACTCATACTATAATCAATAACTCTGTTATCTTGAGTCGACCCTTGACCTGGTTTTCCGTTTCGTTGTCTTCTCCTGCACTGGTTCCAGTCCGACAGATGAACTTCTCCGATTCTGGTTCGAGTTTCCGGCTGGAGTTGCGGACTTGTTGTTCTCGACCGAGGCACTTACCGCAAAACTCGACTTGCGATTTCCGACTGTGCTAATACTTCGCTTCTCGGGTTTGACCGAAGTAGGCGCTTCTGACTTAACATTATCAGCCGACATATGGCTAGCTGTATCGGCTCTGCTGCTTCTCGTGTCGTTATGTTTATTCACGTCTAAGCTATCTTTCTTCTGTGTGTTTTTCTTCTCAGTGGTTCTCCTAATTCTAACTCGCCCACTTCTGTTGGATAAATTACTCGACACTCTACTTTTCGTGTCTTCATTTCTGTCTAGCTCTAGCCTCTCTTTCGCTCCTCCTTTTCGGTCTCGTGATTTCGCCGCTTCAACACTTCGCTCTCTTTCTCTGCTGCTTCTTCGTTGCAACGACCTGCTCGCAAACATGTGTTGAAAATTCCTGATTTTACTTTCTTGGTATCAAAGCTCTTGCTCTTGAAATTTGAGATAACATCCACTAGTTTCTCATGTAGATCAAACGCATTTCTTTTTGTATTGCTAAATTTAGGCAAAAACAATGAGCTTAGAAAAGTGTCAATGAACTCAAGAAAACCAAAAAAAACTGATAATTTTTGAAGCATTTAAAAAATGTATATATGGCCTCGAAGCTCTTAGAACTTTATAAATAAAAGGCAATTTCTATTATTAAAGGCAATTTTTTTTTATAAACAAACCCACTTAAAAAATTTGGGCCAATTGATAATGTTTTTTGTATTCTACTGTGAAATCTTATAGCTAAATGCGGCTTTCGAAACTTCCCGTTTTTTCGAGCAAGTTTTTTCGCCGTCGAGCAACACAACGGCGAGCTTCGCACCACTTGCGATGCAACACAAAACAGCACGCAAGCTAGCCAGAAAAAAGACAAAACTAAAAAAAATATCCGAAAACATTGAATGAGTTCTTTTATATTTGTCTCGAATGCGGTTCCGTTTGAGGAAATATACTGAGAAACACAATGGCCAAAGTTGAATGAGTATTGAAGGAAAAACAAATTTTAACAAATGGCAAATAAGCAGAAAAACTTGGGTAGACGGCCGTTGAACCAAAAAGCAAAGTTTTTGATCTAGAAAAAACTCTTAAACTTGAAAAAGGAGAAACAAACGATGAGCTCAAACTCGAAAACAGAGGTGAAGCAGAGCTTCGCACCACTTGCGATAAAAATAAATGAATGACTCTCATTGAAGCCGACAGATCTCGGTATTCCACACTTGATATATTATAAAGCAATTAATAGTGATTTTGAGCGAAAAATTAACCGAAAAAAATAAATCCGATTTGTTAAAGCTTGTTAGTGGCAAGCGTAATAAGTACAGCAGGCTGCGCAACCAAAATAACTAAGGTTTTGAACGAAGTTAATAAACAAACTAGAAAGCCAAAAATTGATATTAAAAAAAAAAGGGTTTTTCCCTTTACTTGCGAGTTAGCTTGGAAAAAAGAAGGTTCGTACTATTACACTATACTCGCAAGTTCGCTAGTGTGGTAACATAAGCCGAAACCATTTAGGCCGAAGAAACAGTAACCCAAAAAAATAAGCCGAAAAGTTTTTTTTTTACAATTTGAAGCGAACAATAGAAAAACTTCAAATAGAACGGCGGTTTAAAACGCAGACAAGCACAAAAACTAACTTTCGGCCAAATATTCTATTAGAATACATCTGCCAACAGCTTCCAAGATGGTTCAACAAACTTTGTTTGATGGCCTGAAAATAACCTATATTCCGATTCGATAATGCTTGTTAATTGCAAGCGTACAGAAATCAAAAATGAATCGCGCTTAATCAAATTTGAGAGATAAAAATCATTACCCTTTCTTAACACAGCCAACAGACAGTTGGAAAAGTGTCAATAAATGGTACAAAATGAAAAAAAAATGGAACGATTCGTGGAACGTTAAATTGGAACGTTAATAGCCCGAAATATACCGCGCGCTAGAAGTCCCAAATTGGCCAAACTGGTCCAATTGGCAGTCTTTAAACTCCCATAACTTGACAAAAAAAGATCACAAAAGAAATATATATTTTTTCAAAATTGAGCTCAAGACAACAATATCTTTCGAGCGCAATAAAAACCCGTCAAAATTGCTAGTTAAAAACTCGAAATTTGTTTGGAGAAAAAACCATCCCGAGCACAAATATTTTGTCACTTTCTTCGAAAGTCGGATTAATAACTTTCCATCAAACACTAGCAGTCAATCAATCAAACACATGAGACATCAAACAGATTTCATACACTCAAGGTCATCCATGAAAACGAATTAATAAAACTTCTATTTAAATAAATGTAAGATGAATGCTCATTAGATTTCAGACAAATAACAGGACTGCTCGTATCAAGATGAAGCCTTGAATGTTCTGACTGCCCTTTAAAGTCTCTGGAGTAGAGTTCACTTTTTAAACCAAATTGGATACTTTTTCAAAAAAAAACATTTTTTTTTCAGATTTATTTTCGTGAAAAACATCCTCTTACATGCAATGTAAAGTATAAAGGAATATAATTAGCATAGAACAAAATTTAAATAGATCAAATAGCATTCCTCATTTCAAATTGGAACGATTCATGATACGGATTAAATCTCCGCTACCGCGGTAATGCCACAAAAAAATTAGCGCGTTAATTATCCCAAATTGACCAGACTGTCAATCTTAAAACCCCATAACTTCCCCATGTGAAATGTCGTTTTAAATTTGGGCACAAGACAGAAATACCTTTCGGCTGATATAAAAAAATTTCGTCAAAAATTGCTAGTTAAAAAGTCAAAATTTGTCTGAAGAAAAAAACCACCGAGCACAAATATTCCGTTACTTTCTTCGAAAATCAGACTGCTCCTTCATTGACTCAGTTAGAAAAAATCAATGAACGCAATTAAACAGAAAAATAACTGACTTGTTCGAAAGTTTCGAATTTCAAAGAAAATAATAGATGTCCTTACAGCTCTTTCAAATTCAAGAAAAATTTATGACTGACACCTTTTTTGATAACATAAACTAAGTTTGAGAAAACTAAATCAATAAAAAAACTTTTGTTAAATCTGAAATTAAAATCCAATTTCGAAATTAGAAATAGAACACGTTTTCTGTGACCTGCGCACTTTTACAAGGAAATCAACTGAACTTAAAAAATGACCAAAGTCAAACCGCGAAAAACCAAATTTGAGCGCGAAAAAGTTTTAAGACTTTTCTTGAAAACAAAATTATCACGAGCTATATAAGAGTCTTCACTACGTTCATTGACTCTTAAAAACACTTTTTAGTTTAAGCTCAACTGACCTGAAAAGTTTGCAGGTTAGTTCAATTAAATTGGGTCTATTGCTTAAACACAAAAGTAAAACGTTAAAATGAGTCACTCTGGTGGATGATAGACAAAACAGGAAGTATTTATGGCCATTTTTATCGAAAATAGAACTTGAGGAAATTGAAGTATAAAACAAGACAATTCTATCGCATGATACCAGAACACATCCTTAAATATATTTCTGGGGACCTAAACTCGACCGTAAAAACCGAAGCAAGGTCACATTTTTCCATTATTTGGCAACCAATCCGGGCAACAACATGACTGACCTGTCGGCTCTTGAATCTGAATTAGTTTTTCTGCTCTGGTTTGATCTGTGATTACTTCTTTTTACTCTGCGTTTCGCAGAGGATCGTTTACTCGAGGCCTTATCTGCTGGTCCAGGCACTTCCAATTCGCTTTTCTTCTTAGGAATAACTTCCTCCCTTTCTTCTGGATAAATTGGATTCCCAGTAACCACAGGTACCTATTAACATAGCCAACAGTGTTGGAAAAGAGTCACTGAAGGCAAGTGCACAGAAAAAAAATACTGACTAGTTTTTTGAAAAGTCTCAGCAGTCGATTTTCTAAAATAGATGCCCTTAAAGCTCTTTTTATTTCTAGAACAAATTATGATTGCCATTTTTTCGATAAAATTAACCCAATTTGAGAAAACTGGATCCATAAGTAAAACTTTCATTTCGCTGGGAAATTCGATAATTAAATTCCACTTTCGAAACTAAAAGTCAATCACGTTTCTCGTGATACTTTCACTTTTTCTGTTCGATAGTGGAGTTTGCCTTCCTTCTAACAAAGGAAAAGAGGTGAACTTCAAAAGAAATCAAAAATCAAGCTGCGAAAAATAGATTTGAGCCTGAACAATTTTTTAATGACTTTTCCTGAAAAAAAATCATCGCGACCTATATAAAATTCTGAATTGCGATCATCGACTCTTAATAAAAGTTCGAAGTCTTTTTATAATGACGCATGCCAGTAGCGGTTTTGTGGGGGGGGGGGGGGGTGGGGGAGGGGGGACGACTCCCCCCCCCCCTCCCAGCAGGGATTCGACCCCCTGCCGTCCCAAAGGGTCCCCCCTTTGTACTGTTTTGAGATATCCATTTTTGGCTGACTGACCTTAAAATGTTTCTAAAGGCGCCAACCTATAATTTAGAGCGGGGAGCGCGCGCCGAAAAAACGCAAGTTTTTGGTCGAAATTTTCCAAAAATTGCCTTAAAACGCTATTTTTGGCCTGTTTTTCAAAATTTTGCCTGCGACTATATATATAGTCTTTGGTGGTTTGGGAGAGCTCAGAAAATCAATTTGGTCGATATAAAAAAAAGGTCGACCAATTTTTTTTTGAAAATCCGCCCCCCCCCTCGAGAAATTCCTAGATCCGCGCCAGACGCGTGCCCTTTTTGATACTTCATAAAGAGTTCTCTCATCGTTTTATTATCTTGTTTCAAATCCTAATCAATAATCATTGATCATTTAAATTCTTTTTGCAAACATGCCATAATAGTTATTAAGAGTTATTCAGTCATGCAAAATTAATGGTGAGGTCAAATTGAAAAAAACTACCTCGTCATCGCCGATATCGATGGAAGTTTCATCTGGCACTGTTTTGGACTTCTCGGTCAGCAAATTGTTCTGATTCTCTTGTGAGCCATTCGAATCCACCACAATTTCAGTCAATCTGAGCTTATCTTTCTCAGGTTCGTCACTTTTTCCCATATCCTTTTCCTTTTCCACATCCTCTTCATTGTTTTTATGGGTGTCCTTCTTTTCATAATCGCCTTTTTCTTTTTTCGAGTTTTCTTTAGTCTCCTTTGGCATAGTTTCGTTCGTTTTTGGTCCAATGTTTCCTTTTTTAGAACCAGAAAAATTCAAATCATTGCTTGTATTCGCATTAACCTCACCCGTCTGATCAAAACTTTCATCATTTTTGGGAATCTCTGCTTCAAATTCTTCGTCGTGTCGATACGGAGCAACTAAAGCATACTTTGCCAGATCTGCGACCGTCGGATCCGAAATATAGAAATCTTTTACCGCCGAGAACACTTCATTTTTGTTTCTCTTCCGTCTCTTCGCCAAATCCAGATTTTCGAATATTTTGATGAATTCAAATTCATCAGTCTTCTCAAGTTTAAACACTAAATACTTCGGATAAAGTTCTAACAGTTTCGAATCGGGAAACAACTTTTCAAACGCTTCGAGAACTTTCACAGTGGCATTTGGTTCATTTTCGAGAAAAAGCGTAACGAGAAAGAAGCTTCCTTCCAACTGTAGCATATGCTGTCGGTTCCCTCTGAACCTAACGCCTTTGTTCGCCAAAACCATAAAAGAATCAATTAAAGGTTTGGACTCACTATTCCCGATATTTTCCATGACTCGAGATGTTATCATTAAAGCTTTTGCTGATTTAATTTGATCCTGCAGCGCATTTTTGATCAATTTTGCGGCCTTGGGCGAGATGTCTGAAAAGGGTTCGTCAATGATGAGAATCTTAGAGTTTCCTATGAGTGCGATCGCAACTGAAACTTTTCTCTGTTCATCTCTCCCCAATCGCCAAATAGTTTGCTTTTCAACCACTTTGAGGTCCAGCGCAATTAGAATCCAGTTCAACATTTTCTTGATGTGTTTCGAAGTGATGCCTCTAATCCTTCCATAGAACACTAATTCCTGTCTAACTGTCAAATCAGGGTGCAAACCTTCGTTGTCCTCAGCGCAGAAACCGACCATCTTTCGGTTTGCATTTTGTCTGTAGAACTTTATAAAATCCTTGCCTGTAATCAAAACTTTCCCACTTGTTACATTAGTTTTTCCGCTTAAAATATGCGCAATTGTACTTTTCCCGGAATCGGAGTCTCCGTAGAGACCTAAACATGTCCACGGAGGAATCGAGAATGTGATGTCACGAATCGTAAAATTGGTCTGTTCCTGCTTTATGCACTTTCCCTTAATACACTTCCTTTTTGGTTCAGTGTACGCTTTGCTCATTTTTTTAACATCCACTACGTTTATGTTGAAAGTTTTCTCTTCTTGAATCGAATCATCAAAAATATCTCTGACTCCAAATTTCATGGCACTCGCTACACTTCGATTTTCACGTTGTCTTTTCAGCTTCGGCACGTACTCAATTATCACCACTATAGCCGAATAGACTACTGCATCAATTAGCAGAAACAGAACAAAGAGTCCAATGCCTCCCATGGCCAACATTGAAACATCTTCATCGTAACGAACTTGTTTGAACTGCACGTAATAAATTTCAAGCAAACCTCCACAGAGACAATACATAGGAGTCATCATAAAGATTGGTTTTATGTACTGAGCCCAATCAGGGGCGTTGGCGTCTAGAAACATTGACAACCCCGTTAGACAAACCCCTTCGACGTAGAAGATAGCACACGTAATTGTCATTGCGATTCCAGGTCGAACAAACAAAGGAGTAAATATATAAACGGCAGGAAAAATAGCGAATCCAAACATAAATAGAAGTAGCAACGCAGCGGGTAAAAAGGTGACCTTCGAGACAATAGCTAAACCGACTATGCAAATGATTGCAGGGATCAAAAAGGCAACATAATGAAATAAATAAGTACTGAACCAGTATACGAACATGTTTAACCCACTTATAAACTGTAAATGTTTGGATCCCGTTACGTTTTCGCAAACCAGCAGGTAGAGAAAATAACTCGGCACTAGACTGAACACAAAAGCTATGAATGATATTAACACTAGAATCGAAAAGTATTCGTATACGAATCGTTCATCTTCGTAATAATAAGGAATCCATGAATGCAAACTAGCTATGATTCCATATTGGTTCGCAGCTTTATCAGATGAGACTTCCTTAATAGCTCGCAAAATGACATTATTGATACTATTTACAGCAATTGGAAGAATTTGAAAGGCTTTGTTTTCCCACCAAATGGTAACTGTATCTTCAGTGAAGTACTGATAATGGTTCGAGTGGTTCATAAAATCACTTGACCAGCCTGAAGCTGTCTTGTTCAAATAGGGCGAAGTTAATAAAAACTTTTGCACAGCTTCGTGAGCTTTTCTCGAACTTTTAATATCGTAATCTTTGTATGGATTCGAGAAAGAATCGTCCAATACAAAACCGAACATCATTTCGAATCGCAAATCCATTCGAGACCTCAACACAAAGTCTGCGATATCGTATTTACCCATATTCAACAACGTATCACCTGTGCTTAGCTCTTTTTCGGTCGGTTTATTTTTCGGCTCTTTGCACTTGGGCGGTGGCCCATCAGCTATTGAACAAATCAAGTCAACGCCTCGTTTTTGACGCGATGCAAATTTACTCATTGGATGCTCATTTTCATCACGCCCAATTGATAGTTTAATTTTTGAAAGGAACGTTGAAAACTTTTCACACATTACAAATTCACGCCTGCGTCTTGAAAACTTTGAGTCTTCATCCGTTTCGTCACAAAAATTAGACGCATCTGATTTTATACCACTTACACATGCAGTTGAAAAATACGGCTTGTCTGTGATTCCTTTCGCTACCTTCCCCATAAAACCCTGTAAATCTTGGATATTTTTTGCGAACAGAACTAAATTGTCGTCTCTATACTGCCAGGGGTATAATTCCAATTCATGATCTTCTGCCCATTCGCCTTCTGTCGTAAATCGAAACAAAAGAACTCCTGTGATCATTAAGCATATCGGTACAATTAGCAGAACTACTAACGCACCAATAGACAAAGTCGAGTAAAGATTCTTCAAGAAAACTGCTGCAAATTGCACTAAATGAAGTTTTGCCGTTTTCATATCAGGAGTATTTGCCTTGTCTACATCCGCCATGTCGAAAGTTCTGTTCATTTCTCTATTATCCGGTTTCGCGTTTAGATCCACCAAGTTTGGCGAACAAGAATTGAGTAACACAAATTCAGTTAGGAGCAAAGTTTCTCTGTTTTTCGTCAAACGGTCTAGCAAATAAGCGAGATCTCTTCCGTGCGCTGAAGCTTTCGACAACCTGTATACAATTTCCATATCTTCGTCTCGCACCATTTTCGAATCTTTGAAGTTTTCGGCCATGAAACGATCGATTCCTCTGAGATAATGCTCATTTGCTATTCTGACATTTGGTGGGTACTTTCGATACAAAATTATTACAGGATCCGAGTTCAAAATCTTCCTGATAAAAGGCGGACTCCCTATACAATTCATTCCACTCGCCGAAACGACCACGATTTTGTAGCTCAGTAAAGCTGCCTCGTTGCAATTACTCGTGGCTATCAACATTGATTTTTTCTCGAGCGAAAACAGAAACGACAAAATTTCTCGTTCACTTTTCAGTGTAACATTTCTTGAAGGCTCATCTATAACTATGATTTCAGGATCACTCAAAACGGACAAAATCAGCGCAACTTTTCGTTTGTCATCATACGTTAAATTTGACAGCCAGGATTCAAGGTGTTTTGATATTTTCAGGCGTTTTAAATGATCTTCACTAGCTTGACGTACTACAACTGGGTCCATATCTTGAAGCGCTCCATAAAACCATAAATTTCGTCTTACTGTCAAATTGTCAAACAGCGGTAAAAACTGAGGGGTGAAACCGACTTTTCGTGATATTATTTTTGGCTCCATTATCTCACCCTTAAAATACACAGATCCCGTTTTGGGCTCAATTAGGCCACAAACTGCCAACAAAGCACTCGATTTCCAAGTTCTCGGGGTGCCCAAGACGCTTGTTACTTGACGACTGTAGCAATGAAAATTGAACAGGTAAGATAGATTCGGTTCCTTTTTCGTATTACTCGGGTACTCAATCCGAACATCAAAGAGTTCTATCGGACGACTCGGATCCGGCTGGTGATCTTGGATTCTAGTTCCTGCTACACTTTTTGCCGCTCCTCGAATCTTGTCGTCTTTTTTCTTTTTACATTTTCTGTGCAATTTACGACAGGAGAAAAAGAATCCAGGTTCCACAAAGTGCGGTCCTGGAAATGCCTGGTTCAGATACATTCCAACTAATATATACAGTATTGCATTTATGTAGAGAAGAAGGATTCCATGTCCAATTGAGAACATGTCTGGAAAAAGTGGGCTCCTGAAAAGATTCACCCATTGGCCCCCGACTCCATAATACTCCCAGAGTACAAAATAGAACACAATGAGTCCCATCGTTATATTGTGGAACAATAAAGAGGCCACAATTTTCATGGCTCCCCCCCAAGATCCCATAGCTAGAGGTACACAAGGTAAATAAGAAAAGAGGAAAAAGAAACAAACTGCTACTAGCGCTAGTTTTGAATCGTAGAAACAAGTCGAGACTGAAAGTGTAAAAGCGAGAGTGGTCAATAAATAAGATGCGAAGACAAAAATAAGTAAGGCGATATCGGTTTTCGATAAGAGAACGCATGTCAGAATCAGAGGTACAAATATAATAATACCCAAAATAAGGAACCCTGAAATCGCCCAAGAAAGCCAACGGACTGCTGTTTTGGCATTGTAAAAACACAAATAAAATTTAATTCCTGATTCTTTTTCGTAGACAATGAAGTAGACAAATAAGGAAACTGTTATAAATAATGACACTACTATTGCTGTGATCAGACTAAAGAATAAATAGTTAACCGAATCTGCAGTTCTTGAACACACTAAATAAATTGGCGTCGGAAACTGTTGCACCAATAAGCCGACTTCTCTGTAATCCGAACCTGATTGCACTTTTATTATCGCTTTTTCCACTAAGTCCATCAAGTAAATTTGACCCGAAGACAACTGCTTTAAATTGCGCTCAGGGTCTGCTGAAGGCGTGTAATTCCAAGGCCACTCGTAAAACAGATAAGTTGGAAAAACGAGATCCAAGCTGAACCTTAACTTATACGAGACGACTTTCGGTAACTTTTTATTCTCCACATTTTTAAAGACGACACCGCCCAAAACTCTCCCTTCTCTCAGATCTTTCTTTCCCTTCTCAACCATCTCTGATTCACTTTTGAATCCTTCAACCAGTTATGTCCATTTGAACAAACAATATAAATTAAATTTTAGTTATTTCAAATATTTTTTAAATGAGGAACACGAGCTAAGAAAACTTAAAATAAGAAAACATATCGATTACACACTTGCGATGAAACACAAACATGAAAAAAACATTAGTCGAAAAAAAATTAGACGTTGAAAAAAACTAAGTGAACCTAAGTTCTCTTTTGTCTCGATAAAAACAACTACGGGTCCAGCTAAAGCTGGAGGTACGTAATTGGTATTGAATGAATTTCGCGCTATACTGATGCGGAACGAAAAATGTGCTATCAAAAATTGGACTTTGCCTGAAACCTTAGTTGTTTCTCTACTGAAATAAGTGAGAAGAGTAAGAAATTTTGAGAATCAATTTTCCCAAGGACATAAATTTCTCATACAAGAAATTAAAGAATCGCCGCTTCTGCAGAAACAATTATCCCAACCCGTTCTTTCAATAGAACTTTTCATCTCAGATTTGATTGTGTAAAATTTCACGCAAAAAAATAGGTTACCAAAAAACGGTCGAAAGTTCTAAAAACCGTTCACCGCTTACCAAAATCCATAACGTTTTTCTGCAAAAAGCAAGTTATGGTCACTTAAGCAGAGAAGATTTCAAAAGCCGGGTTTCTCGATTGAACACAACCTGAGAAGTGGGAAGATAGTTTTCGCGTAAAGTCAATAAGTTAGCAAAAAACTGTCAAAGTTTCAAAACTTTGACTTGTTTGAAGGCCTAAAATTTTTTCTTAAGCAATCTGGACATGGAACATCATAAAGGTAGGCTTTCAACAACCTATTCATTCGATTTATTCTATAATATCAGATTTGTAAATTATGCAGAAACGTTATGCAGAAGAGATTCACGGAATCTGTAATTTCGAGTTAACCCAAAATCTTAGATTTGGGAGGATAGGTTTCAAGAAAAGTCAAAAGCTTTTTAAAAAAAACGTCACAAAAACAAAATTTTACTTTTGCGAGGGCCTAAACTTGTAGAGTCAAAAAATTTCGCCGTAGTCGCATATGCAAATGAGCTTTCCGAAACCCGTTCTAAGAATTGAACCCAAAAATCTCAGGTATGGCAGGGTAGTTTTCGAGAAACTTGAAAACGGTCGGAAAATGTGACTTTTCATAGGGCGATAATTTCTTGTAAACAACTTTTTGTTAGTTTCAGCTAATGCAGAGGAGCTTCCAACTATCTACAATCTAGTTTCTCGCTGAACCCACAAGATCAGATTTGAGAAGTTAGTTTTCGAGAAAAGGTCGAAAGATTGAAAAAAAAATAGTTCATAGCCACTTAAGCAGGGGAGCTTTTCAAAACAGTTCAATTCTTTGAAACCAAAAACTCATATTTGAGAGCGGTAGTTTTTGAGAAAATAAAAAGAAATCAAAAAATTTGACTTAAATATTCTTTCACACTTAATCGAAGGATGTAGACAGATGTCAAGTAAAAAAAGACTGTTAGGGAGTACGCAGGCAGAAAGAGGAGTTGAACAATCAGGAAAAGTTTCTGAGAAGAACTAAAATGTTTGCAATAAGTGAAAAAATTTCCAAAACGAAAAAAAAAATTCAAAAAACCGATTGGAGAAACATACAACCAACTTAAAGAGTGCGGAGAGGAGTGCTAAGATTGAAACGCTTATCTTGTGATTATCTTGAAACGGGCCAAAATTAAGTCATTAAAAATAGGAAAAATATAATGCAAAAATAGGCCGAAATAATCTTGTTAGCGATACGAAAAAACATAGGAAATACGAAGTCAAGATAAATAAAACACAGAGGCCAAGTTGCACCTCGCATACACACGCAAAAATATGACCGATAACGCTACTGTGAAAAACTGAATGAGTAAAACTTTGAGTTCTCAAAATTTCTTAAGTGACGCAGGCCAATTATGACACATTAGCAGTACTAGTCAGTTTGAAAAAAAAGTACCAACTAACATGCCTCAATTTATAGAGCGGTAATAACATGAAAAATTTAATTGTAATGAAACTAAAATGAAAAATTATTTGAATTTGAAACTTTTTTTGTGAAAACCATCCCCCCACATACCGTATTAAGTACAAAGTGATAAATTTCGCTTCTAGTAACAAATAAGTTATGGTTAATAAACTTTCTTCAACCAATTTGGATCGATTTCTATGACAGATTAAATCTCCGCTTATGCGGTAATAGCGCGAAATATATCGCGCGTTATTGTCCAAATTGGCCAAAACTTTTAAGCCCCCATAACTTTACGCAAAATGATCACAGGTAAAATATCTTTCCAACTTTAAGCTCAAGACAACAATACTTTTGAATGATATAAAAAAACCCCATCAAAAATGGCTAATTAAAAAGAAATTAACTGAAAAAAAAACAACCCGAGCACAAATATTCCGTTACTTTCGTTACGAAAGACGGAACAAAAAATATCCTGTGATAAAATCCTTAGCATTGGCTGTACTTATTAGCTGGTTATTGATCAAAATGAAAACTTTCAAAATGGTCACATTTCATCGCAACAATATTTGCGTCGCAAAAAAAAAATTTGCGACTTAGGTTGGAAAAAATATAGTCCAGACTATAACAAAAGCAAAGCGTAGGCGTAAAACAAACACTAAAAACAACATTAAAGAAAACTGCGCGCATAAAACAAAATAATTCCAAGATGTGACATCTAAGCCGACAACATATAAGCATGCAAATAATTGGGCGACAATTTTATTTGAAACAGAATATTGCCCGTTTGAAAAAAAAAACAGGTCATGATCAGATTCGAACGCAGGAGCTTTGCTGTCCCAGGAATATTCGTTAACTCCACGCTAAGTTGGCCGGAAACGCTAAGAAAATTGAACGCATTAAGAAACAAGGTAGCGATGAGTCCAGACGAGTCCTGTGTACAAAGTTGTTTACGGGAAAAAAGCCTAGTACCCGATTGCAATACCCTTGCTTATCGCAAGTGTTAAAACTCAAAATGAAAAAAAAAATTAAATTGCAAAAGTCTGGATAGGCCAATTTACCGTTTCGAAGCACTCATATGTTTTCAAAAAAGAGATGGTGAAACGTAACCATTTTACAGAAAATTTCAATTTGAACATCAATTTTTAATTATTCAAATGGAAATCACTACCTTCAACTCTCGAAGTCACGAAACAAGCAGCTATGCTTTTCAACTTCTCCAAGAGAACTTTCGTACTTATAGCTATAACTCTCCAATTCGAGATAGGTTGATTGCTTAGCATGTTGTATCGATTCGCATTTTTGACTAGAAAACCGGAAAAGGGTTCGGCGACACTTACAAAATGTTCGGCAGTAGCTATCACTTGGTCGTAATTGTCCAGAAATGTCGTAATATCATCAGAAATGTCTTTTATTTTGTCAAAGAACAGTTGGACTTCTTCCATGATTGCATCCGTTCCTTTGTTTTTAGGCGCGTAATATATTTTACCAAACAGAACAGGCTTGTTGTATTTGATCCAACTTTCACCTTCAGCTAGACGCCAAGTATTCAACATTTCTCGACACTTTTCGTCCAGTGTTGTGTCTGTTTTGTAGTAGGAGTAAGATGTATATTGCGAAGGAACTGCTGTGAAGTCTTTGCCACAGAAAAGAGACTCTAAACAAAATCAAATGCTTATAAAATTTCATTGTTTTAAAAAATTCGGACAAAAACCAATACTTTCAACACGTTCAATTCAAAAAGGATTAAGTTTAGACGGTAATATTCAAATTTTGATTGCATCCGGACTTCTGCATTTGGCATCCGGAACTTTTACAGGAAGGCAAAGCTGCAAGCACAAGCAAAATGGAGCTTTAACGTAGCAAGAAACCAAAAGAAAAAATGAGCATTGAAAAATCAGAAACATTGCCCGACTACGGGATTCGAACTGTAAACCGCAGGATTGCGAAGCGAACATCTTCAATAATTAGCTAGCTGCATTATAGAGTTTAGCTGCTCAGGAAAGACAAGTCGCTCTAACAAAAACTTCAGAAGTCCCGGATAATCACATGCTAAACATTAGCACCGAAGTTGAGCATTTATTAATTCAGAAAAAGAGCTCGTACTAATTTATAAACACTTGGCTTTGAAGCATCCAGTTACTTTTCAGTTTTCGAAATTAAGGCGACCGGTTTTCAAAAATCATTCAATGCAAACGCTTGGTGCTAACTCAAGCAATCTGAACTAATGAAACATAGCCAGCAAACTTTTCATTTTATTTTTCAAATTCCGAAGAGAAAACACATCAGATTAACGCTCTTTGAACTTCAAGGATCTTTCAAGATTGAAACTTGTTTCGCTATAACTGACCCAATCAAAGAATATCGGATTTAAAGGAAGCATTTTTATTCCGCTGGGAAATTTAATAATTAAACTCCACTTTCGACACGTTTTTTGACCTCAATTTATTTTCTTAAGTGGAGAGTGTTATTTGCTTTCCTTTTAGCAAATGCGTTGAATTGAAATCAGAAAGATGAGAAACCAAACTCAACTCAATGCATGAAATAAGACAATAATCAGAAATAGTTATCAACAATTGTAAAGATTTCTTTCCGGAAAAAAGTAAGAAAAAACTGCAAAACCTCAATGAGTAACTGAGCCCTATTTTTATTACCCTCCGGTCGAGCTACCACCCAATTAATCTTGAAATTTTTTGCGTGGGGAAAGCAGTGATTCATTTTGCCATCCAATTCTGATGCCATCAATTTTACCGCAGCCGGTCCATTCTTGAGGAGGCGAATGACATTGGGACCCCACCAACCGTCACCGAAGCCAAATTCAAACCCACGACCTTTGTGTTGAAGACCGCGCGTCTTACCCACTCAGCCACGGCTGCTCTGAGCCCTTATTAGCGACACTTACAAAATCAAGAAAGTTTGAATATAATTTTCTCAAATTGGGCTGAATTTAGCCAAAAGAATGGTATGAAGGCAAAAATTAAATTCGTTTATATTATTTAGAACCTATTAACTCACAAAAAAACAGAGCACTAACAGTTTTAATAAGGATAAGCTAGCATCTGAGGATTTGATGCGTAATATGATGGAAATGTTTGCTAAAGAAATGGAATGTCAAAACAAACTCATAGAGCAATTCAGACAAGAGTCTGAAAAAAAACTAGTATCAGCGGAAAGAGATAAATGAACAAAATCCGCCAGAAAAAACAACAACTACGCGCCTAATTAGCAACACGGATTCGTAGAAAATCAGTGCAAATGCCAGTCCAAATGATTTTTCTCGGTGGTATCAGCGTTGGCTTGATTTCTATGTGTGCCAATATTTAGACAAACAAAGTGAAGAAGCAAAAGATGAAACAAGCTTCTGGCTGATCAGAAATTACCCCAGAGGCACTAGTAAGAAGTGCTCGAGCAGAATAAGGTGCAAAACTCACAAAAGAAGATCTCGGAAAATCAGAGACATTTTTCATAATTATAGTGGTTACAAACAGAAACAGAAGAAAGAGATAGCTACCTCACTGAACAATGAACAGGTGCACGTGTTGTGGCAAGAGTTATAAGAGACAATCTACGTTAAACGGTTACAAACATAAACTGAAGAAAAGATAGCTACCTCGGTCAACAAATCATTGAACACATGTCCCACCAAAGACAAGGAATGTATGAAAAGTGAAAAAAAACAATGCACATGTGCACGCGTAGTGGCAAGAGCCATAAGATACAATCTTCGTTAAGTTGGTTAGAAACAGAAACTGAAAAGATAGCTACCTCGATCAACAAATCAATGAACACATATCCCACAAAAGACAAGGAATGTATGAAATGTGAAAAAAGCTCATTTCTAGTCAGAAACTCATTTCCATCTCACAAAAGCAGATCGCGGAAAATCAGAGACATTTTTCATAATTATCGTGGTTACAAACAGAAACAGAAGAAAGACATAACTATCCGAAAGAACAATGAACAGGTGCACGCGCTGTGGCAAGAGCCATAAGAGACAATCTCCGTTAGTGGTTACAAACAGAAACTGAAGAAAAGATAGCTACCTCGGTCAACAAATCAATGATCTCATATCCCACAAAAGACAAGGAATGTATGAATTGTGGGAAAAAGCTCATTTCTAGTCAGAAACTCATTTCAAACTCACAAAAGCAGATCTCGGAAAATCAGAGACATTTTTCATAATTATAGTGGTTACAAACAGAAACAGAAGAAAGACATAACTATCCGAAAGAACAATGAACAGGTGCACGCGCTGTGGCAAGAGCCATAAGAGACAATCTCCGTTAGTGGTTACAAACAGAAACTGAAGAAAAGATAGCTACCTCGGTCAACAAATCAATGAACTCATATCCCACAAAAGACAAGGAATGTATGAATTGTGGGAAAAAGCTCATTTCTAGTCAGAAACTCATTTCAAACTCACAAAAGCAGATCCCGGAAAATCAGAGACATTTTTCATAATTATAGTGGTTACAAACAGAAACAGAAGAAAGAGATAGCTATCCGAAAGAACAATGAAAAGGTGCACGCGCTGTGGCAAGAGCCATAAGAGACAATCTCCGTTAGTGGCTACAAACAGAAACTGAAGAAAAGATAGCTACCTCGGTCAACAAATCATTGAACACATGTCCTATAAAAGACAAGGAATATATGAGTGGGAAAAAGCTCATTTCTAGTCAGTCTGCAAACCGAAAGCAGTAAAGCAGGACAAGTGCACTCTGCCGCCACCAAGTTTAAAGAAACAAAGCTTCTGAAAAGTTCCCATACCTGTTTGCAGATTGTTAACGGGTCCCAAATCCATATTGCTTAGCGTGATGATACCGGAAGCGATGTAGACGTGATTGGCGAGCAAGTGCTCGAGAACAAAAAAATGTTGAAAAGTCAACTTAGAAAGATTTCACTGCGTGTCGAAGCTACCGATAACAGGAGGCTTCATAGTATTGGAAATGCGAATATGACACATAAATTAGGTGGCTTAGAGGTAGCGACCCGATTGATTGTTATTCGGGGGGTTAAAGACGCCTCCTCTCGAAGAAGACTCTTAAAGCACTCAAGCTGCTGCCTGAAAACTGACCTCTCCATGAGCAGAGTCCAGCCTCAATAAATATTCGCAAAACAACTGTTAGCCAGCCTTATTCGGTCTCTCATGTAAAAGAGGACAAGAAGAAACTATTATCGGACTTTGCCGCTCTTTTTGATGACAAAATTTGAATCTGATGGCAACAAAACCGGTTCACATCAATTTCAGGATTATGCAAGGCCCTTTCAAATGAGTGGCTAGAACAATTCATTTTTTCTACCGCGAGCAAATTGAATAAAACCTTGAAAGAATGGTTGAAGAGAAAAGTTATTGAGCCACTGGATGGACCATCCGAATGATATCATCCAATAGTAGTTGTCAGCACAAAAGGACGACAGAACAGCGCATGACAATTAATATGACTTAACAAAACAACCAAATTGAACAAAAGCTGCATCCAACGGAGACGCTGAAAGCGGCCAGCACAAATGTGAATGGTGCTGGATGCTTTTCTACATTCTACGCTACAAAAGGTTAATTGCAAGTTCCCGTGGACGATGAACACAAGCAGTGACCACTTTCATCACATCTTTGGGTCAATATCGGTTTCTAAGCAAAACAATGGGCTATCAATCAGCTGGCGATGAACTCAATTTACGTCTGAAAAATGAATGCGTGGGAGTGAATTCTGCGGTTTGAAGAAGTCGCAGATGATTGCGATGCGTTTATATCGGCAAGGAAGTTTGACTTAGGAAAGCCGGAAGTAAATTTCTTTGGGTTTGGTTTAAATAAAACCGGCGGGACAATTGATTCGGCGAAAACAGGAGCACTCCGGGATACTACGACTTCTTGCAATCGAGAACAGACTTGAGAAGCTTTTTCGACTTCCTGCAAGTTTTCGAACTTTTCAGGAAAAATAGCGAACTTTACCAAAACTTCCTCTGTTAAAGAAAGAAAGAAAGAATTTATTTCTCACTGTTAATAATCAATTTGCATATAAAAAGAATTTAAACATGAAGCACCAGAAACAGTGAGGGGACAGTTAACGAACCCAATTTGGTTACTCAGCACTGCCCGTTTTATCAAATGAAGGACAAATTTGTGATCTTCAAGGACAAGGAAAAATATATAAATCTGAAAACATTAAAGAAGATATTGGAAAAGAAAAATACTCAAATTTGAATAAACATAAAGCAGCAGATTTAAGGCATTGTCTAGACAGATTAATGACATAAGGTCCAAGCTCTGTATCAATATTTAAAGTTAAGAGATACACTAACTTGTACCGTTTTGTCCATATTTAGAGATAATTTATTCAAAAATAACCATTTATTTATAGCTTCTAAGTCTTGATTGAAGCTCTCAACCGAGCAGTTTAGTCCAGTGACGTTTGTGTCGTCGGCAAATAGAAAAACTTCGCTAAATTTACAGACTGTTGAAAGGTCGTTTATATTTATAAGAAACAGCAGAGGCCCCAAAATGGATCCCTGTGGGACACCACATTCAAGATTTCGCCACGTTGATCGCGTTTCCCCAATTTGGACAAGTTGTTTGCGGTGCTTCAAGTAACTTTTAAACCAAAGTAGACTTTTCCCACTGACACCATACATTTCTAACTTATGAAAAAGAATCTCGTGATCCAGTGTGTCAAAAGCTTTTTTCAAATCAAGAAAAACTGTTCTCTTTGGTGATTTAATTTTATCTAAGCGACATTTCTCTGTTACTTCGGCAATAGCATCAATAGTACTGTGTTTTTTTCGGAAACCAAACTGTTTGATGTAAATTAGAGAGTTTGCTTCAAGATAGCTATACACTCGGTTGTACATTGCACGTTCAAATACCTTACTCCAGGTTACAAAAAGTGATATTGGCCGATAGTTACTGACATCCAATTTCGATCCTCCTTTGTATAAAGGATATACTACCGCTTGAGCCAGAGCGGTAGGAAAACACCCTGATTTAAAGGACTCTTATCGTTTTAGAAGGGAATCTGTCCATCGAAAAGCATTCACAATAGTACGCAAAGAGCAGTCAAAGCCTTAAGTCATGGCTTTTTTTTTGATACGAGAAGAAGATTTAAACCGGAAACAGATGCAGCTCGTGTTGGTGGCCTAGAATATGCTACGGCTAAAAACCGTCGGCAACAAACTGTCGACAAGCTTCTTCTTCCAGGTATCTATCAGATCTAGAAACCCGTTATACAATTTTAAAACCGGAGCTTTTAGCGGTCCTTTATGCTACTGCGAAACGTGATTTCTATTTAGCAGGTCGGGATTTCAACCTAGTCGTTGACCATCGGCCGCTCGCCCATTATTTGACAAGTATTGGTTTTCTTAAATGGAAAATCCCCAAACTTTACACTTTCTTTTGGAACTTACTAGCTACATTTTCTCAACTACCAGAAAACTCAACTACCATGCCATCTCTAAAGCTCCACTAGGAAGTTCCGGAAGATGAACACGGCAAACAGGAACATATAATGATTAACCGGCAATGAACCGGTTAATGAACGAAGCTTCTCAGTCGTTGCCCCATTGTCTGCAAGAAAGGGGGACTTCGCGAGGCACTAGTGCGCGATCTCACATACAAACAGCTGCAAAAACAAATCATTGAGGGGTCCCTTTACAAAAAGATGCTGCTTCAACTGAAATCATTCTGGGCAGTCGTCACAATTCCACATCCGTGTACAGGTTGAGTCTCGTTTGTTAATTCTTAATTTTCTGAGAGCCCATGTACTTCAATGTGATGAAAAAACAAAACGGCTAGCACGGAAAAGTGTCTATTGGCCTAATATGTCTAATGATATCGCGAACAAAATTTCTGGATGGGTTCAACGTACCTAAGGAACCCATCATAAAAGTTGCAGTCCCAAGTTACCCTTCCAATCTGTATGTGCAGATTTGTTCAAATGCAATAGAATGAAATATCTGATTATGACAGATAAAATTACATTGGACTTGTATCTCAAAAAACAGGACGCACTATTAGCACCGATGATTTTATCATGGCATTTCTATCTTAGTTTTCTGATGTTGGAGTTCGAATCGTTCTTTGAGATGGATGTCCACAGTTTTCCTCTAGAACACTAAAGTCTCTGCGGCCAATGGCTTATCTAGCAAGAAATTCATCGCTGCACTACCTCAAATTGAACGATTGTGTAGATTTAGCAAAAACGCAATGAAACATCTTAGTAGCACCCGAATGAAACAACGAGTAAGTCCAGCAAAAGTTCTGTTGAGACGAACTCTTAAAAGTTTTGTCTTCACTAATCATCGCTCGTCTCGCGAAGATGTAAAAAGCAGAGCAGAGGAGATAGGTGCGAAAGCCAACTAGTTGCGCGAACGTGCTGAGGCTCATTATAACAAATGTGCGAAAACTTGCCTGTTTTCAAATTTGGAACGCATGTAAACATACAAGATCCTCACAGAAGATTATGAGTTATTGTTGCAATTGGTCGTGCCAAAGATTATTTTGTAAAAACCGAATGTGGGCGATTTTACTAGCGTAACTGATGCAACAAGAACCTTCAACGGGTTTTATAGACAACTCCGATATAAGTCATCCGGTTGCTTCAGAAAAAAAGTTTCCAACCAAATTCAGCTAATAATGAAAATTTGGCTCCAAACAAAAGCAGCTCATTTGAGGGAAATTTGCATTCAGCACGAGCCATGAAAAGCCAGTCTGGTTCAAAGCTCTAAATTCAGGCCAATATCACATAGCGGCCTGACTGTAAGGACGTGGTGAATGAAACCAGGAGTAAGTCAAGCACAAGTTCTGTTTAAGAAGTTCTATTTTAGAAGATTTTTAAAAAGTTTTGTCTTCAATACTCATCGCTCGTTTTGCAAAGATGTAAAAAGCAGAGCATAGATCGATATTAAAGCCAACTTGTTGCGCGAATGAGCAGCGGCTTACTATAACAAATGTGCGAAAATTTGTCTGTGTTCAGAGTTGTATAGCATGTATAAATACAAGATCCTCACAGAAGATAATGAGTTATTGTTGCAATTGGTCGTACCAAAGATTATTTTGTAAAAACCGAATGTGGGCGATTTTACTAGCGTAACTGATGCAACAAGAACCTTCAATGGGTTTTATAGACAACTCCGATATAAGTCATCCGGTTGCTTCAGAAAAAAAGTTTCGAACCAAATTCAGCTAATAATGAAAATTTGGCTCCAAACAAAAGCAGCTCATTTGAGGGAAATTTGCATTCAGCACGAGCCATGAAAAGCCAGTCTGGTTCAAAGCTCTAAATTCAGGCCAATATCACATAGCGGCCTGACTGTAAGGACGTGGTGAATGAAACCAGGAGTAAGTCAAGCACAAGTTCTGTTTAAGAAGTTCTATTTTAGAAGATTTTTAAAAAGTTTTGTCTTCAATACTCATCGCTCGTTTTGCAAAGATGTAAAAAGCAGAGCATAGATCGATATTAAAGCCAACTTGTTGCGCGAATGAGCAGCGGCTTACTATAACAAATGTGCGAAAATTTGTCTATGTTCAGAGTTGTATCGCATGTATAAATACAAGATCCTCACAGAAGATAATGAGTCATTGTTGCAATTGGTCGTGACACAAATTGTTTTCATTCAGATCGTGCTACAGATTGTGATTATACCAAAAGTGCCACCAAACAAGTGAACACTTTTAATGAACACTAATTGCGAGTTAAACTTAAAAAAAAGACTTGCTAACACGCTACGATTCGCAAGTTGGCAAGTGTTATTAAGATTTTAGCAAATTGTGCAGTCCAGTGAGCATAAGAAATAAGTTTCCCTTAAACGACGGAAAACAAGACCGCAAGCTGATAAAGTATGAGCCCAAATCATCTGGGCAGAATAAAACTTTTAAGCAAAAAAACATAAAATATACGGAATTAACAAATTACAAACAGCAGAAGTAAATTAAAATTCTACAAGCAGCTACATTAAATTGCGTTCAACAAAAAAAGCAAAAAACGATGTGGCAACTAAGCCGATAAAAACAAGCAGTCAAATAATAAGACAACAGTTTTGAAACGGAATATTTCGTTGGAAAAAAAAACAGGTCCTGTCAGATTCGAACTTAGGACCTTTACTGTTCCAGGCGTATTCATTGCCTCAAGCTTAAGTAAGAAATAGAGGCAGGGAAACTAAAAATCATTGTGAACTGAACTTAAATTTAACTATTCTAGCTTTAACCATTCTATGAACAAAGTTATTTAGTAAAAAAACCCAGTACCCGATTGCAATACCCTTGCTGATCGCAAAGGTAAATTTCTGTGGACCGTCATATACAAACTTCTGAAACAAAGGGTCAGCATAACTATTGCGTGCACTTACACACTAACCCAGACTGTTCATTGCGGATTCTAGCAGCAGAGAAATCTGGTACAGAGCGCCAAAGAAGTTCGCAGAAGCGTCCAGGTAGTCCAGGGACGTGAACATATTCATCATATCTGTGATCTTGTTCAAACCAGTTGGGTCTGACAGTAAGTCTTTGGCAACTGTTGAGGCTGGTGCTTGAAGAGAGCTCCAAACTCTCTCCTTGCTAGCTCGGCTTTTGTCGTATGTATAGCCCACTAGAAGTCCAACGTCGCAGTAAGACTCCCACAACGAAGCCTAAATAACACGGCGGTTCACTTGCATTTCCTTTTCTGATTAAAAAAAGGATCTTTCTATATCGAGCCATGATAAATATCAGTACTTTATAGTTCAGTATTAGACGTTTCGTCGTACAATAGAATTTAAAATGAATCACATTTAAAAAACAAAATTAATTTATCCAGGAGTATAAATGACACAACAAAATACTGAAGTTAAGAAACCTTGAAAAGGGTAGAAAACGCGACCACTGATTTGCTCTAAGTCTACCCTTAAAACTTCAAAAGAGTTATGGTTTTATCGAACACCAACCATCGACGCGGGATTCCGCGTGTCATCGTGAGAACATCAAGCCTTCACGAATTAAGAAAATCATTTTATACATAGATCCAATTAAAAATGAAAACTAATTTTTTCCATATCCTAGTACACCTTTTCTGCCCGACCCTTTATTTTCTTGTACTCTTGGACCGAGCGCATCCCCTAGAATTCATTATATAACTTTAATACAAAACTTTTTTCAATATATTATTAGTAGCTCATCTAGCATCGAACTTGGAACTTCCAAAAACTAATTTAGATAAGTCTCTAAATGAAATCATTCCAATGACCCTAAAAAATTGAGCTGTTCGTAGATATGAAATTCAAAAACTGTCAAAATTTTGTTCAATTTGAAGATGTCTTCAGAGCTGCTAATCGTTTGAAGAAAAAAAAATCTGAAAAAAGTTTGAGTGAAGTGTAACAACAACATCAACACAAACAGAACCCATTGGAAAATGGGTTTAGCAGTCAACTTTTAGAATAGTAAATCAGTTGACCTCTAGGTACAAAATGACGAACTTTCTAAATTATTTTACAATAACGAGAAATTTAGTAAGCATGATGAATTTGAGTTGGAAAACATCATTGGAATTTACTAGAAAGACCTCACATTTGCAGAACGGTTCAAAATAAAGCGTGCAAACTTCCTTTTCAAACTGATTTTAAGCATTGTTTCTTATATTTATTTGTACAAAGAAGCTTATTTGCATGCATTTAACCAACTTCTTCAAATCTATTAGATCTGACTTTTTATGTATATTTTTTGATTAAAAACAATTGAGCTTCTATTATAATCTAATACAATTTCTTCCGATCGACTTTCATTTGACGGATTTTTTTCTCATGGATGTTGAACAACAAGATGTTTTGGTAGGAACGGCTGTCAGCTCCACTACTGCTCGAGGTTCAAGAGTTGGAAAAAAAAATCAACGGGACGACCGGAACGACCGCGTGCTCAGGAAAGATACTCAAGAAAAGATAGTACTATAAGATTGAATCCTCCTTACGATGCGCGCAATGTGAGAGACGTAACAATGAACACTCTCGTAATTTTCAAGAATTCATTGGGTATAACAATCAAGTATGAAGGTGAAAGCATGCCATGTCCTGCCTGGTGATACAGGTTTTTTTTCCTCCAGCGGCAATATGTAAATTAATCTACTTCGAGGACAAAACGCAAGTCTGGAAAAACAGAAGGGACAAAAAAAGTCAACCCAATAAACCACAAGTTTATTATTTTGAATGAAACATTACCAAAACCATATACAAATATGCTTAGAAAAAACTTCAAACAAGCCAGCACTCCACATCTGTCAACCTCCAGCATTATCCTTGCATCCACAGAAAAATTGTCAACAAAAAACAAATTTGATTAGCTCTTCATTGCTTAATATAAACAAATCCCGAAATTCGTGGGCAATGAGTTGAATATCTGAATTTGAAACTTGATCAAAAAATTTTGGAATTAGGGAATTCTGTCTAAGTATATTAAAAAGCTTAGCTCCTCTGTAACTAATTGAAGCTCTTTGAATTTTGCTTTTGAAATTAAGAATTTTCATTAGATTAAGATTTGACCTTCTGGTCATTTACGACGGTTTATCAAATACAAAAAACTCGTTTAAAAAAGTTTCAGAGTGTAGTCCTGCTATTGATCGCAAAACAAATTTGAGGAGTTCATATACATGCAGCTCGTGAACTGTTAAAAAATTTTCATCATTAAAAACTTTTCGAATGCTTTCATATTTTCTTTTGAAAAAATAAATCGAATAATTTTTTTTGGATCAAAAAAAGGGTTAAAAGGTTTGTGTAGGAAGTGCAACCATACACTTATATTCCATATTGCAAAATGGGCTTAATATTAGAGCCATAATAATCAATCATAACAGTTTTGGGAACATAATGACGCATTTTCAAAACAATGCCACATTGTTTTCTACGCTTGGATCGTATGAAATTATTGTGAGAATTAAATAAAAATTTAGCATCTACATAAACACCAAGATATTTGCATGACCCTTCAATTTTCAAAGGAATGCTATTAATAAACAATTGCTGGTTGGAAGCACTGTTAAGAGATACACTAACTTGTACCGTTTTGTCCATATTTAGAGATAATTTATTCAAAAATAACCATATATTTTTTAGCTTCTAAGTCTTGATTGAAGCTCTCAACCGGGCAGTTAAGTCCAGTGACGTTTGTGTCGTCGGCAAATAGAAAAACTTCGCTAAATTTACAGACTGTTGGAAGGTCGTTTATATATAAAAGAAACAGCAGAGGCCCCAAAATGGATCCCTGTGGGACACCACATTCAAGATTTCGCCACGTTGATCGCGTTTCTCCAACTTGGACAAGTTGTTTGCGGTGCTTCAAGTAACTTTTAAACCAAAGTAGACTTTTCCCACTGACACCATACATTTCTAACTTATGAAAAAGAATCTCGTGATCCAGTGTGTCAAAAGCTTTTTTCAAATCAAGAAAAACTGTTCTCTTTGGTGATTTAATTTTATCTAAGCGACATTTCTCTGTTACTTCGGCAATAGCATCAATAGTACTGTGTTTTTTTCGGAAACCAAACTGTTTGATGTAAATTAGAGAGTTTGCTTCAAGATAGCTATACACTCGGTTGTACATTGCACGTTCAAATACCTTACTCCAGGTTACAAAAAGTGATATTGGCCGATAGTTACTGACATCCAATTTCGATCCTCCTTTGTATAAAGGATATACTACCGCTTGAGCCAGAGCGGTAGGAAAACACCCTGATTTAAAGGACTCTTATCGTTTTAGAAGGGAATCTGTCCATCGAAAAGCATTCACAATAGTACGCAAAGAGCAGTCAAAGCCTTAAGTCATGGCTTTTTTGATACGAGAAGAAGATTTAAACAGGAAACAGATGCAGCTCGTGTTGGTGGCCTAGAATATGCTACAGCTAAAAACCGTCGGCAACAAACTGTCGACAAGCTTCTTCTTCCAGGTATCTATCAGATCCAGAAACCCGTTATGCAATTTTAAAACCGGAGCTTTTAGCGGTCGTTTACGCTACTGCGAAACGTGATTTCTATTTAGCAGGTCGGGATTTCAACCTAGTCGTTGAGCATCGGCCGCTCGCCCATTACTTGACAAGTATTGGCTTTCTTAAATGGAAAATCCCCAAATTTTACGCTTTCTTTTGGAAGTTACTAGCTACATTTTCTCAACTACCAGAAAACAAGGCAAGGAGAACAAAGTTGCTGATGCCATCTCTAAAGCTCCACTAGGAAGTTCCGGAAGATGAACACGGCGAACAGGAACACATGATGATTAACTGGCAATGAACCGGGTAATGAACGAAGCTTCTCAGTCGTTGCCCAATTGTCTGCAAGAAAGGGGGACTTCGCGAGGCACTAGTGCGCGATCTCACATACAAACAGCTGCAAAAACAAATCAAGGAGGGGTTCCCTTTACAAAAAGATGCTGCTTCAACTGAAATCATTCTGAGCCATGAAAAGCCAGTCTGGTTCGAAGCTCTAATTTCAGGCAAATATCACATAGCGGCCCGACTGTAAGGACGTGGTGAATGAAACCAGGAGTAAGTCAAGCACAGTTCTGTTTTAGAAGATTTTTTTAGAAGTTTTGTCTTCACTAATCATCGCTCGTTTTGCAAAGATGTAAAAAGCAGAGCATAGATAGATACTAAAGCCAACTTGTTGCGCGAATGAGCTGCGGCTTACTATAACAAATGTGCGAAAATTTGTGCGTTCAGAGTTGTATCGCATGTATAAATACAAGATCCTCACAGAAGATAATGAGTCATTGTTGCAATTGGTCGTGACAGAAATTGTTTTCATTCAAATCGTGCTACAGATTGTGATTATTCCAAAAGTTCCACCAAACAAGTGAACACTTTTAATGAACACTAATTGCGAGTTAGGCTAAAAACAGACTCGTACTAACACGCTATGATTCGCAAGCTGGCAAGTGTAATTAAGAATTTAGCAAATTGTGCAGTCCAGTAAGCATAAGAAAAATGTTTCCTTTTAAACGGCGGAAAATTAGGCCACCAAGCTGATAAAATATGAGCCCAAATCATCTGGGCAGAAAAAAAATTTTAAGCGAAAAAAAAACATAAAATATACGGAATTAATAAATTACAAACAGCAGAAGTAAATCAAAATTCTACAAGCAACTACACTAAATTACGTTCAGCAAAGAATAAACAATAAAACGATGTGGCAACTAAGCCGATAAAAACAAGCAGTCAAATAGTAGGACAACATTTTTGAAACGGAATATTTCGTTTGAAAAAAAAACAGGTCTTGTCAGATTCGAACTTAGGACCTTTACTGTTCCAGGCGTATTCATTGCCTCAAGCTTAAGTAAAAAATAGAGGCAGGGAAACTAAAAATCATTGTGAACTGAACTTAAATTTAATAAATCTAGTTTTAACCACTCTATGAACAAAGTTATTTAGTAAAAAAAAGTCCAGTACCCGATTGCAACACCCTTGCTGATCGCAGAGGTAAATTTCTGTGGAACATCAGATGCAAACTTCTGGGGCAAAGGGTCAGCATAACTATTGCGTGCACTTACACACTAACCCAGACTGTTCATTGCGGATTCTAGCAGCAGAGAAATCTGGTACAGAGCGCCAAAGAAGTTCGCAGAAGCGTCCAGGTAGTCCAGGGACGTGAACATATTCATCATATCTGTGATCTTGTTCAAACCAGTTGGGTCTGACAGTAAGTCTTTGGCAACTGCTGAGGCTGGTGCTTGAAGAGAGCTCCAAACTCTCTCCTTGCTAGCTCGGCTTTTGTCGTATGTATAGCCCACTAGAAGTCCAACGTCGCAGTAAGACTCCCACAACGAAGCCTAAATAACACGGCGGTTCACTTGCATTTCCTTTTCCGATTAAAAAAACAGGATCTTTCTATATCGAGCCATGATAAGTATCAGTATTTTAAAAATCAGTATAAGACATTTCGACAGTATAATGCAATTTAAAATGATTCACATTTAAAGAACAAATTAATTTATCCAAGAGTATAAATGACACAACAAAATACTGAAGTTAAGGAACCTTGGAAAGGGTAGAAAACGCGACCACTGACCTGCTAAGTCTACCCTTAAAACTTCAAAAGAGTTATGGTTTTATCGAACCCCAGCTATCGACGCGAGAGTCCGCGTGTTATCGTGCGAACATCAAGCCTTCACGAATTAAGAAAACCTTTTTATACATAGATCCAATTAATTGTAATACAAAACTTTTTTCAATATATTATTAGTAGCTCATCTAGCATCGAACTTGGAACTTCCAAAAACTTAGAGCTAATTTAGATAAGCCTCTAAATGAAATCTTTCGAATGACCCTAAAAAATTGAGCTGTTCGTAGATATGAAATTCAAAAACTGTTAAAATTTTGTTCAATTTGAAGTTGTCTTCAGAATTGCTTATAGTTCGAAGAAAAAAAAATTTTTTTTTTTTAAGAATTTTCATCTGGAAAAAGTTTGAGTGAAGTGTAAAACAACATCAACACAAACAGACCCCATTGGAAAATGGGTTTAGCAATCAACTTTTAGAATAGTAAATCAGTTGACCTCTAAGTACAAAATGACGAACTTTCTAATTTATTCTACAATGACGAGAAATTTAGTAAACATGATGAATTTGAGTTTGAAAACATCATTGGAATCTACTAGAAAGACCAAACATTTGCAGAACGGTTCAAAATAAAGCGTGCAAACTTCCTTTTCAAGCTGATTTTAAGCATTGTTTCTTATATTTATTTGTACAAAGAAGCTTATTTGCATGCATTTAACCAACTTCTTCAAATCTATTAGATCTGACTTTTTATGCATATTTTTTGATAAAAAACAATTGAGCTTCTTATATAATCTATTACAATTTCTCCGATCGACTATCATTTGACGGATTTTTTCTCATGTATGTTGAACAACAAGATGTTTTGGTGGGAACGGCTGTCAGCTCCACTCCTGCTCGAGGTTCAAGAGTTGGAAAAAAATCAACGGGACGACCGGAACGACTGCGTGCTCAGGAAAGATACTCAAGAAAAGATAGTATTATAATATTGAATCCGCCTTACGATGCGCGCAATGTGAGAGACGTAACAATGAACACCCTAAAATGTTTCAAGAATTTTTTGGGTATAACAATCAAGTATGAAGGTGAAAGCATGCCATGTCCTGCCTGGTGATACAGGTTTTTTCCTTCCCGGGACAATATGTAAATTATTCTACTTCGAGGACAAAACGCAAGTCTGGAAAAATAGAAGTGACAAAAAAGGTCAACCCAAAAAACCAAACGTATTAAATTGAATGAAACATTGCCAAAAGCTGAAGCGGCGATCAAAGCAACTGCTGTTCGTATGGGGTTGCAGAGGGTGACCAACAATTGCTTTGTGTCAGTTGCAGTTAGTGGTGAAAATGGATCGAAAAAGTATATAAAATTCATTAGCTTGGATGATCTCAAAAAATTAGAACCAAGTGCGATCAAACGAAAAATTGTTGAGGTTACCAACAGCAGCAGAGGTACAAATGATAGAGTCTTACCAGAAGGAAAAAACCGAATGTGAGCAAAAAAATAGACTCATAAACTCTAACCAGTTACACGAACTGAAACTTTTTGTTGAATATTTCATACTTTGTGATAAAACGAAAGATATATTGAGTTGATACTAAAGCGCCGTGCAACTCTGCACTAACTTTACTTGGTTTCATTAATTTTACTGTTGCTTTTGATTTTTTCATTGATCTCTGGAAGAGATTTTTCGGATTTTTTCCCCCCACTTTTTACAATTTGATTTGAAATATTCAAATAAATCAAGTTATGTCAGAAACAACTTACACAAAATTTTGTTTTTTATTGTTTCGTATTGGTAGTCAAAATAAATTTCAGATTGAGATCAGACTGTCAGTTCCGTTTTCCCTGCTTGTGATAACGCAAGCGCTTCAGGTTGGTTGTGATAACGCGAACTCTAAGCCTGGAAAAATGCTAATGGACTGGTTATGCAAGTTAACTTTTGTGTGCTCTGTGACGTCAATTTTTTATCTTGAAATAAATTGAAATTTACCTAATGTTCAATTTTAATTATTTTTTTTTGTAAAACTTGGATATGAATGAGAAACTTTCGAGTCTCTACAGCGAAAAAGTGCAATCGAAAACACGGCAAATCAAGAGATTTCTTTTTTTTCTGAAACAGCAAAATAAGGGATATTGTTTACATACAAGAACAGCGTATGAAACAAAGGGACGAAGTAGGGAAAAACTTTCAGGCAAACTGAGGAACTTGTTTTTTCCTATCTCAGATCAAAAAAGGCACACCAAGCAGTATATCAAGAACACCACTGAGCTGGTTTTTTGCAAAATATTAGATCGTTACCAAAAAACAGACGAATTTCAAGTTAGCCTTACTCAACTAAATTATTTGCCTAGGGTTATATGTAGCACCGAAACCTGGCTTTCACCAAAGCAGATTTCAATATTTAAAAAATTAGGGAGTATCAACCTCTCAATGAAAATTCTCGTAAGCGTAGGGGAGGTGGCGTATGCTTATTATATATAGAATGTGGAAATAATGAAATAATAAAAAGAACAAGCTTTAACAACATTCAATTATTAAGCGTCAAAATTACAAACGAAAAACAAACTAAAAAATACAATCATTACGTGTGTTTTTACTCCTCGAAGCGCGGTAAAAACTCATTCACCCTTTATACTACAAAAAGTTTCGGATTATATTATAGTAGCACCATCTACACATCATTTACTTTGTGAAAACTTTAACATTAACATTTTAAGAAAAAGCAAACGATTCTCTGAACTGATAAGCAAACTAAATGGAAACGATCTTCTCCTACAAAATGGAAAACAAGCAACCAGAGAATCTTAGACCAGTAAAATGTGTATAGAACTGTTTTTTTTTCAGAACACCGGTAACTGATCATTATAGAGTAATTTTAAACGCAACGCCACAAACATGCAAAAACGAATCTTTTATTACCAAAATCCAACCATGGTACAAACTTGAATCGGAATCTTTTCTTTAAGAACTAATTGAGTCTTTACATGAAAATTTATTCGATGTTGAAACAAAAATTAACCAAATTAATTGCGATGAGTTTTTTCATTGTTGAACGAAAAGCTCAGAATTAACACTGAATCATTTTTACTATGAAAAACATCAATCAGAAAAACTTCGAAGCACTGGGTAAGATAATAATTTGCAAAATGCAGTATCGAATAAAAACACCGGTTTAGGAAAACTTTTTTGAAAACTGGAACCACAGAGACCAGAAGTAAATTTGAATCCCAAAGAAAATTGGTTCGTAAAATGCTGAGTCAGAAAAAAAGAGCACTTTATGGAAACAAATTACGATTAGAATCCAATAACAACAGCAGAGAACTTTTCCGTCTTTATGACGCTCTAACATGTGCTACCAAAAACAACGAACAGAAAGAAAAGAACATAAATGTTGAGGAATTTAACGACTTCTTTCCAAAACTTGGAGAAAAAATGGCGAGAAACCTGATAACTTTAAAAGAATCAGGAGTCAGAAAGCAAATTAACTCAATGTTTTTTAGCAGACATCAAGCAAAGTGAAATTTCAAATACAATCGAATTGCTAAAAACGAAGTTTTGTTTGGATATGAAAACTGGAACCACAGAGACCAGAAGTAAATTTGAATCACAAAGTAAATTGGTTCGTAAAATGCTGAGTCAGAAAAAAAGAGATTTTATCAAAACAAATTACGAAGGACTGCTTGAAAAAGATTTGTCTAAATTTGCTCCCAGTTTCGACAGAACTTTTACAAAACTGTTTGGATAGACAAGTTTTTCCAGACAGTTTCAAAATTGCCAAATTTAAACCTCTCCTCAAAGAAGGCAATGATCTAGATCCATCAAACTACAGGCCAATTCTCTTTCAGGAAGTTTCAGGTAAAATTTTTGAGCGGGCCATTTATAACAGAATCAACCAATATCTCACAAAGTATCAATTTTTACATAATTGCCATTTTGGGTTCAGATCAAAAAGGAGTACAATTGATGCTTTGATAACCCTAATAGAAGAAGTGCGTCAAGATTTGAACTCTTAAACCACGAAGACACAGTGTACATTCATTGACCTTAAAAACCTTTGATACAGTTGATCAAATGCTTTTACTTGAGAAATGTGACGCATATGGTTTTCGGGGACCTGTTTTGGATCTTTTGAAATCTTATTTAAAAAACCGACAACAATACGTTGCCACTAAAACCAAACGCTCTCAAAACAAAAATGTGAATTATGGAGTACCACAGGGATCCATTCTAGGCCCGCTTCTTTTCATCATTTATAGAAATGATATTGAGCTAAGTTAAAATTGTGAAAGTAATCTGATTTTATACGCAGACGACACTGTCATAAAAACAACAGCTAGAAACTGTGAGTTATCCGGTAAACACCATGAAGCGTTGGACAAACCAGCAAGTTGGCTTGAAAAAAAAACAAGCTGACCTTAAATGAAGATAAAAACAAAAACAATGATACTATCTAAGGAGAGCAGCGGCAAATCAGATGTAAAAATGAATTGAAAAAATAATGATGCAAAACAATCATTCCGACACTCAGGTGTTCAAATTGACTCGAAGCTTTCCTTTATTGATCATATTACAAAAACTGGAATAAAAATTGTCGAGGTTTTGTGGTATGTAATACAGGTTGAAGAAAAATTTAGTTTAAGATCAACTACTGAAAGCATATAACGCTTATGTAAAACCGATTTTACAGTACGGGGTTTTGGCTTATGCGTTAACAGACAAAACAAAATTAGAAATAATTAAACTTAAAATCGAACGGCTAATAAAATTTTTTTTTTTCAAGAGAAGAAATCAAAGCATCCAAGAAATGAGCCAAAAACGAAAAATATACTTCGTAAAAGAAAGACATATCTATGAATTATTCAAGTTACTATGTAAGTTTTGAGAGAAGAGTGCATATTGGCCATTGTCCAGGAAGCTGTAGCTGAGAAATATTTGAATACAATTTCGAATAAGAGAATTTCAGCTAGGCAGATACCTGTGTATTCAAAGAGTAACCAAAAAACTTCGATAAATGTTAGAATTAGAAAACTTTTCAATTTTGTTCTGAAATATTGTCCAGATTTTGTTACCAGGATTCAGAGCTACACAAATATCAATTACAAATTTTCAATCATGAGTTTTTGAACATTTTTCTTCTAGGAAATTATCAACTGGTTTCTCATTTTTGAGTAGAAATAGTATTTTAAAAAAGAAAATGAACTGTCGAGGGTAGGTGCTGAAATTTCCCCTGCTGAAATTTACCCCTTTTTTGCTTCAAATTTTTATTTCTCACTAAATCATTTTTCTTGATTAACTAACGATGTTAAAAAGCAAAAAAAAATCAGAGCAGGATCAGAGGTGCCTGAAAACGGGCTGCAAAGTTCCACGGCGTTCTCGCAATGAGATTTCACTTGGTTGTAAATGTAGTAAATTTTACAGTGAATGGAATCTACATTGCAAAGAATTTATTATGATTTTTATTATGATTATGATTATTATTATTATTATGATTATTATTATTATTATTATGATTATTATTATTATGATTATTATTATTATGATTATTATTATTATTATTATTATTATGATTCTTATTATTATTATTATTATTATGATTCATAAATCCCATCAGGTCCCATCAGCCGGAGCATCAATAGTACTAAGCTTTGTGAGGAAACCGAAATGTTTACAAAGAAAAAACCTTCCAAAAACAAATAGCTACTTCTGATAAAAAATAATCCACTAAATGAACTTAAATTAAGCAGTCCAGTAGTGCAATAGGACAATTGTTATTTCTGTCAAATTTCAATCCTTCTTCAGAACAAGAATTCATTTTTGATGTTACCAATTTATCAAGGAAAATGTCAATGGTGAACGTATCAATTTTATGAGCATAGCTGCTATTAACAATGCTGAAAGTTTTGAAATTACAACACATATGGAGTCATCCATAGACGATAAATTATCTTCCACGTGTTCAAATGGTGCATAGACATTTGTGTCCTTAACAAAACAGTCCGAAATTATAAAATTGTACCAGAAACTTATGTCCCAGACAAAATTGTCCGAAACTGTTTTGCGAACTTTCTTTGATTTGACCTTGTGATCTTTAATGCTTTGTTCTTTTGAGGTTGTTTGATCGTTCTTTAATTAGATTCTATGCGTACCAATTAGCCATAGAACAGTCAAAGTGAGACAAAACTTTCAGAAAAATAAGTGCCTTCAATTAGAAGAAAAGAAATTACTTTCAGTCGTATAATCGGCCAAGTCAGTACCTATAGTTGTAAAGAATTCAATGAACGGCTTTACTATTTCTGCGTTTGATGGTTCATCGCTGCTTTGACAAGATCTTAACCTTGGAAACATTTTTTTTTACACTATTCTACAACTGAGGTCTCTTACAAATTTGTTTGTCTGCCTCGAGTATCCAATAAAATTTTACAAACTTTTTGAATTATTTTTTGGCAGTTTTATTTTTTTCTACTCTCCTCCATATATTTCTTAACTCGACCAATTTTTTCTTAACTCGTCCTATCATTAAATCATTCTTTTTTGAAGTTAGTCGTTTTGTAAAATATCATTCAAAAATGGTAAGTCACGATATTTTTCTGGAAACTGAGTTAAAGGAATCAGTGAATAAAACGAGCTAACTAGAATGATTGTATCTGATCAACACAACTTTGATCTGCTTTGGACTGCTACGACATGGCGATGGGCTTTCGACTAAAATGAGCTTTTGACTGAAACGAAATGAAAATCGGATCACTATTGATATGTCGTGCTTTTCGACAATAGCATTCATTTGATAGGCTGTATCAATCACTTTATCAACAAGTTGTCTCTTTTGTTGCAGGACTAATTATTCAGCTTCTGATAAACTCTTAAGGTTATATCGCACTTCATGGTTGGTTTAGCTCTTGTTTAATTTCCGACAAAACTTGGGAATTCATTCGGGCAAGAGCTTGTTCAACTGTTTTCTTTTAATCACTATTTCCAGTTCCTTTGATCGACTGTACTATGCTTAGAATCAAGTAGCTAAGTGACTTAGCAATCGATATTCAATGGTTTTTTATATCGAAAGAATAAGAGTCAAGTTCGGTGCAGAGTCGGTAATTGTTTTTCAGGTCGGTAATTGGCGTTTGATCCTCAACTTCAATAGATGGTGTATCAACAGTCTGCTCAGTTATGGTTCTGTTGGCACCATCATTTTCCATTTCCATTCTCTGAAACTGTTTAATAAGTTTATCACAGCAGCAATTAGGCCAAATGTCGAGATTGGAAAATGCTTAACCTTACGTTAAGACAGGATTTAAAAAGAGACAAAAGGACAGAAAACACGACTCAGATTGGTTTACTTGGGACCCGTAGTATCCAACAGACGCTAATTGAGGCAATTGAATGTAGGTTGGGTTTCCATTGCCAGCAATGCACCAGTCCAAGAAGCCTAACCAATTCAGTATCATAGTGAACACGTAGATACTTCAAGCCAGACATTGAATCAGCAAAAAGTGATATTTGGATCAAAAGGAGTAGGCTTTTCTCAAACATTAAAAACATATTCCCCAACAAGTCATCGCGTTCCATGATTTCAATCTTTTCCCTCACCAAACTTAAATCGCTCATGTTTTTTTTTTGCGCTTTCTATTAAAATTTAACTTTCAGCGCATTTAATAAAATAATATGCAGTTCCAAACTGTGTTCAAAAATGGTTTCATAGTCACCTGTGAAAAAGAAAGCTACCAAAATTTCAATTAAAAAAACACTTCGACAACTACAGACCCCATCGCCTGCCTAGCTCCGAAAAGAAACTCCTATACCATCTACTTTAACACAATTTTTAGCAATTCTACTATTTCAGGCAAGATATATGGAGAATAATTACATAGACTCACCATTAGTTGCCAAGTACTGTATTAATTGAGTGACGTTTTTTGCGTCTTTGGATTCAATGAGGAATTTGGACCCACTGAAGTTGGAATCACTGAGTGCCTCAAGCACTCCACGTGGAAGGGACTGCTCCGTCTTCGACATTTCAGAGGTGTTGAAGAAGGCCCCCCGACTGAACAAATCATAGACGCCTGAACCCTTCAGCCATTCGATGTTATCCTGCAGACAAATCATTTTCCCTTTACTTCCAAAGTAGTGTAAACAAAAACAAGCACACCATTTTATTCACAGCAATAGTTTCTCCCCTCAAAACTCCAGTAAATTACACCCAAAAGACCCCTGAAAAGGATTGAAAGTCAAGATTGCAAAATTTTCTTGAAAATACCAAAAGTCAAAGACTCCTCAAAAATGTAAAATTATCTTAAAATCATTAAAATAGACCCAATATATAAAAAAACCACCTACCGCGACAACTCACAACAAAAAAAAATATCAAAATTTAAGGAAGCTACAACTCGCACATTAAAAAAAAGAATTTATGAAAAATCAACGAGACTTAAGACTTATAAAAAGTTAACAAATCCCCCTCGCCCTCAGCACACACAAACAAAAAACATAAATTGCTCGTCAAATGAATCAATATGAGGCCACTAAGCTGATATAATAAAAGCCAAAACCTACTATGACGAAAAAAATAAAATAAAATAACATAGCGAAAAATAGTCAGTTCCCCTCAACCTCAAAACACAGAGGCACGCACAAACTTTTTTCGCTGGTCGACAGACGCAATATGAGGCCATTACGCCGATATAATAGGCCGAAACCAATCTAGTAGAAAAAAAAACAAAAATGCCGAAAAAAGAACTGTCGTCATAAAAAATTGAACTATAGTTTCTAATAAGAATTTAGCAACTTGTGCGATCTAGAGGTGCTCATAAAAACTACGTTTCACTTCAAACAACTCAAAATTAGGTCACCAAGTCAAAAAATTGTGAGCCGAAATCATTTGGACAGAAAAAAAACAAGCAACAAAAAACAATATACAAGTCAAGAAATTACAAACGGCAAAAGTAAATATAAACACTAAGAGCTACTACAATGTAAAATGCACATAGCGAGAAAAAACAATTCACCATATTTTCTGAAACGGAATATTTCCCATTAGAAAAAAAAACAGATCCCGGTCAGATTCAAACCCGGGACCTTTGGCGTACCAGGCAAATTTGTTAGCTCCAGGCTAAGTGGGCCGGAAACGCTCAGAAGGTACCACTAGAGATGAATCCAAAGTACATTATTGATGAGTCCTGTGGAAATAGTTGTTTACGGGAAAAAGTCTAGTAATTGCAATATCATTGCTTATCGCAAGGGTAGCTATAGAATTTCCGTTGAAGGTCGCCGGGCGAAGCTTCGCTGCGATAACCGGCTCTAAATTTCGTATAGAGTCCTACACTCTGTTGAAAAGCTCGCAACACGTTGGCGCGACTGCGGCGGTGAGTATCTTGCGAGTTGTCTTTCAATGCGAGTTGTCACATTACGAAAACATTTTCACTTTTAATTACAAAGTAGTGTGAACATAAATAAACAAGCACACCATTTGGAATCAGTTTTGGTCCTCTTTAGGTGTTAAAATTCAACTATTTTGTATTGGAATATTGAGATTAAAAATGTGAACAGCCAATTGAATAGACCAATAATAGATGAGTACCTGTTGGGGTTCGAGTAATGCCCTCAGTGTCTAAAACAAGATTTCAAATCATTGTTATTTTGACCCTGACTGATAGACTATTATCTAATTCGTACCATAAGTATAACAAGCAGCGGCGGATTTAGGGGGGGGGGGGGGGGCGGACGCCCCCCTTCTCAGGGATTTGACCCCCTACCGACCCAAAGGGTCCCCCCTTTGATACTTTTTCAGAAATCCATTTTTGGCGGACCGACCCTAAAATTTTTCTAAAGGCGTCTTTGGCGCCAATACATACTGTCTTTGAGGGGGAGCGCGCGCCAAAAAAAACGCAATTATTTTGTCAAAATTTTTCAAAAAGTGCCCAAAAACGGCTTTTTTGACTGTTTTTTTCTAAAATTTGCCTGCGGCGGAGAAAAGTTTGCCAAAATAGGGGCAAAACAGTGCTTTGGGAGAGCTCGAAAAATCAATTTGGTCGACCTAAAAAAAAAAAGGTCGTCAAAATTTTGGAAAATTTTTCGAAAATCCGCCCCCCCTCGAGAAAATCCTAGATCCGCCCCTGATAACAAGTATAGCCTTATTTGAGATATTTCCTATACACGACCCCTAATTCATTAATGACGTTTTTGAGCTAGTACGAAAAAAAACACAACGGCGAAATTTAAAAAAGGACTTAAGAACTTCTCAAAAACATTTCTAATTAATTGCGATGCTTCAGCTCCCGAAAGACCACGTTCTAGCTAAGGTAGGAGTAGGACCACCATACTTTTTTTGAAAAAATATTCCGATTTGTTTTTAATCAACGTATGACATTGACTACTCGATTTTGTAAGTGAATAAAAACAATCAGCGAAAAAATTGCAGCAGGACTCGTTACACCAACCTGGCCTTCCTTGACTACTACTTGAGTGAACAACTTCCAAATCTCAGCAAATGGCGCGTCAGTCCCGAAAGGCTCCTTCGGTTGCATATCACACAGATTCTGCCTGGCACACATGAATGAAAAGAGAAACGGCATCAGACCAGCTGAAGGCAACGCTTTCGGCCTAACGAAACAATTCGGCCTAATGATATTGTCGACGTCATCCATTGCTAGATGTATAGCAATTAACAAGACTGCAAATACTATAATCGGCCAAACGATTTGAAACACAAACAGACGTACGTTACTTGTCATTAAGAGAAAGTTCTTCGTAATCAGTACTTTTAATCTGACTTTGAACGGAACTGGAGTCAGTTCTGCCTCGGAGTTCGAAGATCCTGAAGATGTTTTGTGGTCCGGTCGATTTGTAGTTTTTTCGAAATTATTGGCTGGATCATTTAAATTATCTTTCTTATCACTTCGCTTTTTCCCGCCTTTCCTCCTTGGCTTTGGAGACCTGAGGGTGTTTTCTGCCTTTTCAGGTTCATCGTCAATGTTAACTCCGGGCTGCGCTTCGTTTTTTACTTCAGGTTTATCGCCAATTTTAACCACTTTTTCTTCTTTTTTCGCAGGCTCTTCGAAGGAATTGTTTTTGTTTTCTTCATTTTCTAGTTCCTTCGCTGGCTCTTCATTCGCTTCATCAGACATTCATGGATGCGTGTACTCTCACATGAACACATGTACAATTTACAACCGCAGAGAAGCAACTTCCACCTCGAAATACTTCAACTTCGCAAATATTTATCTGAAACGAAAATACTATCTTAACTTATTACCTAATAAGTTTATCTATAGAGAACAGTCACGTTATTGTTCCGACCACCTCCTCTACGGATGACGAGGAACATTGGGTTTCAGCTGTATTTTTTTAACGCAAAATCAGGTACCTCAAAGAACGCTCGTCATCCATAATACAATAAACACTGTCTCAGTGTCGAGACAAACTGGGCAGTATATTTACAATTCTCAGGATGAACACGAAACCATGTTTCAGATCACTTCCCATCTGTTTGAAAAAAAACTTTTTATGATGAATCGACTAGCTTTATTTCCCCCAGATTAAATGAAATCCATTGCTACCCAAAAAACAGGCAGATACTTTGAGATTTACAAAGCTGCACTTGAGTCAAAGCTGCACTTCGCAAGTAGCAGCGAGAAAACAGCGCAGCTCTAAAAATGAAAGTTGAACAAAAAAGGATTGAAACAAGCCTTGAAAAACAAAACTTTTTGCTTTGTGCTTGAATCGAATACGGCCGACCTGTACATTAGGAGTCTCAGTCTCATATCCTAGCTACAGATGCTGGCCAATAGGGAAACACTGGCTACCGAAAAAGCTATTGGTCTCTGTTCTCTACAAATTAGAAATGCTAAACAGAAAAAGTGCCACTAAAAAGAGCACTTTTATTTGCGGGTTGTAATGGAAGAAAGAAGTGAATAGTTAGCTCACTGAGTAAATAGTTAGCTCACTGAGTAAAAAATTTCAAAATTTTTTTGATGAATGTACTTTTTGTTTTGTTTTAGTATTGCCATGGTCGGAATATTCTGCGCTAGCTGCACAGCAACCGGCTTTTACTTTTTTCGGACACACTCAAATATAATCACACAGAGGCGAAAAGGAGCTTCGAACCATTTAAAGATGAATCGCAAAAATAGCATAGTAAGCTAGCCAACAAGAAAACTCGATGAAGGCATTTTTTGAGGAGAAATTTGTTGAAGAAGACAGTTGTCAGCAGTAAATTGGCATTGAAACAATATTTATGAAACATTAACTACGCCAACTAAGATTGGGTTGACGCTTTTTGACCCAAAAATACGATCGATTTGAACAAACAGCTTCAAAACTTCATTCAAAACGGTTTTCAAGTTTCACATAGTGAAATGGTATTATGATGTCTATGAAACTGTGGGAAACAGGGTATATTCGTCAACGTAAGATCGGTGGTTGTTGTTAGTGGTTCTACGTTTGTGTTACCACTAACAACAACCACCGATCTTACGTTGACGAATATACCCTGTTTCCCACACTTTCATGGACATCATAATACCATTTCACTAACCCTCCAGCACAAACATGAATGAAAAATACCCTGTTTCACACACTTTCATGGACATCATAATACCATTTCACTAACCCTCCAGCACAAACATGAATGAAAAATATTATCACAAACAAAGCGATATGAGGTAACTAAGCCGATGTAATATTAGCTGAGCAATTTAAAACGAAAAAAACACGAACAAGGGAAAGGAAATGATAAAAACAAAGTTAGTTTAAAACAAAAAAAAACAAATTTCAATTAAAACGGACTTTAAAAGCAGAGAAAGTCACCAAAAGTGCCGATTGAAGATAAGGCACTATCATATGTAATCCGTCTTTTTTTTGTTCGCACAGAAATTTGACATTAACCAAATCAGTAATAATAACTCAGTTTTTATAGCAATGTTTGGAAAATTTGACTTGAAAAAAAAATTTGATTGAAATTCATTTGCTAAAAGGAAGCCAAATGGAGCACTCGAATAACAAAAATTCGATTGGCGCAAAAAAACCTATTTTACTACTAGTTTCGAAAATGGAAATAAAATTTCCAAATTCCGAGCGGAATCTCGAAAATATCACTTGAGTCAGTTTCCATCATAAAATTAAAGCCTGTTTGCCGTTGAAACTGTTTTTTTTTTCTTCAAAATAAGACATGTATACCAGATCAAGGCCAATCCTTGAATGCTCCGATTGTCCAAAGAATGATCTCAAAAAATTTCGGTGAGTAAAATTTCAACAAATAGGCTGAAATGAGCTTCAAAACTCTTGTTATAATACACGAACTGCATTGCAAGCTAGCAGATAAAAAATAAAACGAAAGCCACTAAATCGGGAATAAATTGAAAAAGTGACAAAATCACAATTACAAAAAATTCAGATTTTTGTCATTAAAAATGTTCTTTTTGAGGAAAACTTGTCAAACAAAACAATTGCCGGCGTGAAACAAGCGCTCAACACCTTTAGCGACAATTAAGCTTTTTAGTAAACTCGCTTTGAGCAGAAAACAAAACTATGGTCATAAAAGAACTTGTGAAGTTTTATCTTTTTCGTGTTTCTGGAGGGGGCGTAACTATATGTTTCTCTTCAAACGACGCAATTTTAGGACACGAAGTGCCAAAAAAACAATATATATCTAAATGAAGATAGTTTGTCTCGATTGGCGATGAACAAAATATACTTCGCACAAAAACATCAAGACAATTAAATATGATACTAGCATCGTATAAAAAGTAACCAAACGTTAAGAAAACCGAAAAACCTAAGCAGAAACTCTGCGTCGAAACAAAATTTCATTAGAACAATCTTACGAACTCAAAAAATCCCACACACACAAAACACAAACGTAGACAAAAAACAATTTTTGCTCATCAAAAGAGGCAACAGGAGGCCACTAAGTCGATATAATATAGGCCGAAATCTATAAAGCCGAAAAACAGAAAAAAAAAAAAAAGCAAAGAAGAATGAAAATCTAACAAATCGCGTCGAGATGAGTCTTGTAGACAAAATTATTTACGCGAAAACAGAAAAGTAATTAGTTACAAAACCCTTGCTAATGACAAAAAAAATCCAACTGATTGATAACGCTTCATTGCAGGCGTAATAAACAATAAAATTTGAAATGCTTGTGTTTCGTACCCCAACAGCCAAAATGAAATGTTCAAATTTGACTCATGTAAGGAATTATTATTTTGAAAGCAGGATAATTCGCCATTCATAAAAAATTCTCGTTACGCTTTGTGGATCATAGCTAAAATCTTGAAAAGAACTTACCAAAAAGATTGCAGGTGAAATATCTTCTCAAATTCGAAATCAGGGAGCCGATATTTTCAATGAAGTGTATTTTTCTTTGTTTTATTTGGATCGCTGAAATTGGACTGAATAAAAACCACCTCACACATATACTAAATCTTTGGATACATGAAATATTTGAAAATTGCAGCAATCCAAAAAAAAAACAGTTTCAACGGCAAACAGGCTACAATTTTCAAAAAGTAATGCAAATATCCGATTTCTACTGTTCGCATAGAAGGTGCCATTGAGGGCAATTATATCATGCCAAAAGGATATAAACCTCTTTAAATTGGGGCCTAGTAAATTAGACGAAAAGCAAATTAGACGTGACCAACAAAAACGAATTTAGACGTCGATGCAAAATTACAAATATGGGAAATTGGACGTAATTGTATTGTTTGTCTGAAATTTTTTTACCGACTAAAATTAACTTTCGTTCAGCTTTCTTAATTGCAAATCAACTTTTTACATGCCGCAATTTTCACATTCCGCATTTTTCACATGCCGCAATTGTATAACTTATGCATTTCAAAAATGTTTTATAATCTTGAAATTAACATTTTATAAACCAATTGAGATAAATTTTTTGATATGCAATGGGATCATATATAATTTTTGTAATTATGGAAACTTGTTTTAAGCAATAAGTTTTGTAAGGCCTTTGCTTTCCGTCTAAAATGCTAGTTTTGCAAAAACAATTTAACGTCTAAATTCGTTTTTGTTGATCACGTCTAATTTCCTAACCCCGCCTTTAAATTAGTTAGAGCCAATTATGGCCGCACAGAGGCGACGCGCCAAAAGCACTCACCGGCAACTTTATACCGAGAATCGGCTATTGGAAACGGCGAATTGACCCATATCTTGTCTTGGAAATTCTTTCATATTATTACGTATCTTATACAGATTCGGATGTCTGACAAATCAGATGCTTGCCCTAGACCCATGTTCCTTCCTTTTTCGAAAGTCGGAAAAAAACAACTGATGCAAACTCTTTTCAAATTTAATACGGCAACAAACCATTCAGTTTCCAAACTTGCAAAGATAAATATATGCAATCAAACATCTAAAATTGACAATTCGGATTCTTTTGAAAGAAATGATAATTAACATGGCAGAAAAGAGGTTTTCATTGCACAAAAACGAATCTGCACTTTGCAAACACATGCGAAAAACAACAAAAACAAAGCTCTAGAGGCAAGAAGGGAAACATGCACGAAAACTTAATTTGGCCTAAAAATCAATCAAATTAAACACAAGAGGCAAAGCGGAGCTTCGCAACACTTGAGATGCAAACAAAACAGAGTGCGCTATAAGATAGTGAACGATAAAAATAGACAAACAAAAAAAATCTGAAAGATTAAGTTGAAAAAACAACTTGAGAAAAAAAAGTTGAACAAATTACAGCTACAAAAACTTCATGTTTCTATCGGATGAAGTTCAAAAACAGCCTTTAAAAAATTGGAAATCAATTACCAAGCGGCAAAAAGCGACAAACCTTCGGTCGAAATATGTTCAACCGTAAACAAAATTGTTGTCATAAAAAACTTTTTAAGTTTTTACGACCAATCCAAACTGAAACACATAAACGCATACTGATATATTTTGCCCTCAAATTATGCAATATTGTTTGACTAAACCAATTTCAAAAACTGTTTCAATATTTTTTAAAAATCAGACTATGGTAAAAACTGTTTTAATTGGAACAAAGCCCAGGTTTTAAAAAAAAAACCAGAAGAACCTTACCAGATAAAAAATGGCGATTCAAAAAAAAACGGAAAATGAACCGACAGAAATTAGGACGAAAACCATGAACCCGAAATTGAAAAATTAATTACAACCCGAAACGTGCTTTAATTAATTACTATTTAAATCATAGTAGTTTTATATTCATTTTCAAGAAAATGAGCACGTCAGAAGGTGATTGAGTCCAGGAGATGAAGGAGTCCTATGAACAGAATTATTGAGAAGAAAAAAGTCTAGTGCCTGATTGCAATACCCTTGCGTATCGCAAGGGTAAAGACAAATACTTAAAATTGTAAGCTGCGCTTCGCGAATACAAGCAACAAAAACAGCTCCTAAAAAGATTCTAAAAAATTTGAATAGAAAAATCAAAAACAAGCTTCTCAAGCAAGGCTCACTTTGCAAACACAAGCGATACAACGGCCAAAGTAGCTCTTAAAAACAAAAAAAACTGAAGTAAAATTAAAATATGAAAAGAAAATTTTCGCTCTTCTTAAGCCGGAATCTCGTACTAATATACTTTGCTTCGCAAGTGTTAACAGTGAACAAAGGTGACCGACCTTTTACCAGTAAATTTAAACAAATTTAATTGACAGCTTTGATGGCGCCGTTTAGTATGGTTAAAGAGGAAGATTCTACGGTTTCTCAGCGAAGTTTTGTTTGTTCTAACTGCATCCTTTTCGAATCTTCCACTAGTTATAGCTTATCTTGACTGAATTATTGCGTTGTGGCCTGGTAAAAAAAACCTAGCCCTGTGAACCAATAAAGTCTTTTTGAAGACGAAATAGCCCATGTAAAACAAGGCCATTCTCAACGTGATTAGCAACAAAAATTACAAAAAGCTAAAAAGTCTAATCATAATTTTAAAAAAAATGAGCACGCCAGCAGAAAGAGATGAGGCACATGGGAAGAGAAAAAGACTGATACCGGATTATGAAACTCTTGCTTTCGTAGTAAATATGGTACACAGAGGTTGTTTCCTTTCGCATCTATATGCAAAAAACAAATCACGTAAAAATCATCTGCTTAAAAATTGTTTTCGAATGTATCAAGCATGAAACATCCGTAACTGATCTCATGACTTTTATACATTGAACACTAATTGAGAATGCAGAGTCATTGCTAATTGCATTTGCTTGCATACAAAAGACAGGCCTCAGAATATACAGGCTGGTATAGCTTATGCGGTTTATAACCTGGCAAAAGATACTTAACAATGAAACCGGAAACTGTTTTCCAAACGAGAATTAGATTTTTAACGATTGACTCAAAAAGTTTTTAGTTTATCTAATCCACTCAGTTTGGCCTCAAAAGTAATTTCCAAAAATTGTCATTTAATATTTCGATTCTAACGAGACAAAAATAAATACCGGTTTACAGATATCAAAACAAAGCAGCACTTTCAATCAATCATTACAGAAACGAGAAAATGCCCAAATTTAGAGCTTTCTTTTCCCTTTTTTCCGGCTGCCCGAGCCAGATTCCCTGCTGCTAGAACTGGCAGTTGTGACTCCGTTGTTAGCGGGGATCGAACCACTGTTCTCTATCGCCTCCAATTCAATATCATAAAATTTAGTCTTTTTTGATTTGGCGTCTAATGCACTTGTATCTTTTGCCTTCTCTTCACTTTGAAGGTGTTTTCTTTTTCGTTGCGTATCGTCTGGGGGAGCATTTTGATCGGAGTTGAATGAAGTTTCTTCTGGGTCTTCGATTTCAGGAGCATTGGGCAGGAATAGGACTCCGTCTAAATCCAGCTCATCTTCGTCGCTGTCCAGAAAAGCCCGGCTGTTTGGAGCAGTTCCAACAATGTCGATCTAAATTAAAAGGCGAATTTCGTTCAAGTTTCCGTCAAGAAATGAACTTCGCTTCACCATGAATAAAAACAACCAAGATATTATACAACGTTTTGAAAAATTCACAACGCAACCGTAAAAATGGCAACTGATACCAATTGATCTTCATCTGATTTAACAGTAGCTTAATGCTAAATTTCATTTCATATCCTAATTTTTTGGTTAAGACAGAGGCGAAGCTGCGCTTCGCAAACACAAGCGAGGAAAATGCAAAAAACAAGAGCTCTGAACAGGCAATCAGGAAAAAATTAAAAATACACCATGAGAAACAAATTTTAGCACTTCAGGTGTATCACGTTCTCACATCTGCTCCACAACCGCTTGTAATTTCACTAATACTAGCCACTAATAAAGCAGCTACAGTTTCTATCAAATTTCAAATGCTACGCAGCAAAAATTTGCCTAAAAAATTGCCTGTTGATTAGGAGTCTCATGAGCTCGGATCTGCACCATGTTCGCATGGAAGTAAACTAGTGGCCCAGCTAATGCTGGATCCACCTGTTTCAATTTTTTTCAATGAGATTCGCACCGCGACCCAGAGATAGGAGTCTCGCATACTAACCACTCAGTCACGGACACTTAATTGGAATCAAAAACAAGCCACAAACGAGCAGAGAACACATACTATGCAATTACCAATTATACAGTGAAAATTCAAAACAAGTGAACTTTTATCGGCTAGTTAGGTTAGAACAAGTATAAGGTTCGTAATAACATCGCAAGTGTAATCAAATAATATTGATACGAAAATGCGTTGTTTTCCAAAAAATGCGCAAAACTAAGATTTACGCAAAACTAAGATTTAATTTTTCGGCATAATTAGGGGATTAGCCACCTTTATCTCAGATTTGGCTAAGCAGTTTTCGAAACAAGTGAAAAAATTCCAAAAAGTTGACCTTACCTAAATGCATAAACTTTTCTCTATTAAAGCATGGGAATAGCGTGGAAGACGTCCAAGACCTTAATTTTAAGATTGAACCCCTGATATCAGATTTAGCTTAAAGTTTTCGAGAACAGTGAGCTTTAAGCACGCGAAATCTAAGCACCATTTTAGTTTGAACACAGACGAACTTGCACTTCGCATACAGAAGCAAAAATATTACCGATAACGCTACTGGGAAAAACTGAATGAATAAAACTTAGAGACCTCATAATTTCTTAAGGGACGCACACCAATTATGACTCATTAGCAGTACCAATCAATTTAAAAAAAATTTACCAACTAACATTCCTCAATTTATAGAGCAGTCTATGGTGCAGTAAGCTATGGTACAGTAAGCTCAATTATGGCAAGTAAGCTTCCTTCAACCAATTTGGAACGATTTCTATGACGGATTAAATCTCCGCTTACGCGTTAATAGCGCGAAACATATCGCGCGTTGATTGTCCCAAAATAGCCATTTTAAAACTCCTATAACTTCACGAAAAATGATCACAGGTGAAATATTTTTCCAAATCTAAGCTCAGGACAACAATGCCTTTTGAATGATATAAAAAAAAATTCCGTCAAAAATGGCTAGTCAAAAAATCGAAATTTGTCTGAAGAACCACACACACTTTACCACACACACTTTACGAACCCCCCCCCCCCGAGCACAAATATTCCATTAATTTCGTTACGAAAGTCGGAAAAATAATATTCTGTGTTAAAATACTTAGCATTGATTGTACCTAATAGCTGGTTATTGATCAAAATTAACACTTTCAAAATGAACACATTTTATCGCAACAATATTTGCGACTTAGGTTGGAAAAAAAGATAGCTCATTCTATAACACAAGCATTGCTGTGTAATTAACTAGTAACCTCAGAATCAATAGGTTAGTTTTTTAAAGCAAAAAGAATAAGTTTACAAAAAACGGGAAAAATTCAAAAATTGGCCATACTTTTTTCAAAACGCAGGGCATAGCCGCTTGCGCAGGGAAAATTGGCATAACTGACTGTATCTATTTCGGTTAAAAGGCAATCACCTTTATTTCTTCAATTTATGCTAAAATTTTATTTCCTAAATGCAATTTAAAAAGACTTATGCTTTCATTAGTTTTTTAATGTCAATTTGAACACGTGAACATATTTGAACACGTGAACAACAACTTTTCGTTCATACAAATTAAGGAACAAACTACTTTCAGACATCTTTCATTCGTAGAATAGAAGAAAATCCAATTTTAGCTGATATCTTAAATCATAAATAATGAGTATTGATGAACTTTGAATGCATCCTCACTTCTTCGTCCTCGTGTGCATGATGGGCGTCTTCGGGGAGAGATCTGTCCTCGTCCTCCAGATCGAACTCGCTCTCCCTTTCCTCATATTCTACATTCTCCTCTAACTCCCTGAAGTCAGGAGCAAATGCACTCCAGTTCTCCACTTGGGCCTAAACAAACACTCATACACATATCTCATTCATAATTATACACTCGGAAAGTTATTAATCGGTTATTTTTTGATAATTTGCACTCGGAAAGTTATTAATCGGTTATTTTTTCATAATTTGCACTCGGAAAGTTATTAATCGGTTATTTTTTCATAATTTGCACTCGGAAAGTTATTAATCGGTTATTTTTTTGATAATATGCACTCGGAAAGTTATTAATCGGTTATTTTTTTGATAATTTGCACTCGGAAAGTTATTAATCGGTTATTTTTTGATAATTTGCACTCGGAAAGTTATTAATCGGTTATTTTTTTGATAATTTGCACTCGGAAAGTTATTAATCGGTTATTTTTTGATAATTTGCACTCGGAAAGTTATTAATCGGTTATTTTTTGATAATTTGCACTCGGAAAGTTATTAATCAGTTTATTTTTTGATAATTTGCAGATTGCACTGTGCCCAATAGTTTCAACCCAATAGCGTGCTTACTTGAGCCCATATGGATACAATGCCAGCGGATATTGAGGCTATTATTGGTCGGATAGGGTGCCAGGCAACATCCAAAACTAGTTCCCCTCTGGCCCCGTACAGCACCTTCACCAGGGACCCCGAACCCGCCTTCTCCCAGATGTAGAGAGCGTGTTGTCTCATAGAAGCCGCCACTATGAACTGCGCGTCGCCACTGAACGCCACCTGCAAATTAACATCACGGGGGCTATTATCATGCGCGAAGGACTGAACGCGCGAAAATTCTCAACCAATCAATGCCATTTAAACTGTAGAAACGCTAATAAATTTTATCGCTTATTTTAATCGAGTTAATGAATAATGAACTCTGTGCTGATTGGCTGACAAGTTTTTCGCGCATTCGATCCTTTGCTTATGAAGTATTGCCGCCAAAACTGCCTTTTTTTAGATTTAGAGATCAAAATCATAAACGAAAACAAATGGATTGAAGAATACGCTGGAAGTTATTGAATGTTTTTATCATGAGATCTAGCAATTTTTTAGAGGTGTTCTACAGTGCCGAAAATTTAAACAAATTTCAACATATTAAGTGAGGCAATCAAAAACTTCACGGCGAACGTTTACAATCTTAAGTGACTTTTGAGCAAGAAATTTTGCAATTTAGACGTTTTGGCGCCAAAGCAATTGTTTCATTTGCAGTTGCAGACATTTTGGCGCCAAAATTGGAGTGATTTTCTTTCTTAATTAGCGTCAATAATTTTGCGCTCTTTCGATAATGCGTTTAAATTATTCTGAAAATTTCCGGTCTTTTTCGGCACTGTTGTACTTCGGCACTGTTGAACGACGCCTTAGAGAAGTAACAGAAGTAATTCGTATTACTTTCGGTGAATGACGAGGAGACGGGTCTGATCCAGACGGGTGCCGAACATCAAGCCGACGGGACTTCAAGCCGAATCGTAAAATTAGGGAATTCAAGCCAAAAATTTTCTCATCAAGTCATGAAATATGATTAATTTGAAAATGTTTTAGAAGAATTATTCAATTTCATGATTTTTCTTCAGTAGTTTTCATGAAATTTCAGCCTCCAAATGATGTTTAGGAAAGTTGAAAAAGAAAATACGGTTAAAAGCAATTTTCTGGTTTATAATTTATGCATTTCAAAAACCGGCTCATATTATTAACGGATGCCAATCTTAAGTGATTTATTGTCATGAATAACGCTTATTCTGGCCTACACTTGCCTAAAAATTTTTACAAGCAACGTTTTACAGATAACAGACACGCTGCGCTTCGCAAACACAAGCGAGGAAAAAGCAAAAAAAATCTCTAAACAAAGTGAAATAAGGAAAAGGTTAAGAAGACACCTTGAGAAAATTTTTTGCAAGTCTTAGGAGCAACACATTCTCACATCTGCTTCATGACCTCTTGTAATTTTACTAACACTAGCCACCAATAATGCAGCTGCAGTTTCTATCAAATTGCCAATGCGATGCAGGAAAAACTCGACCAAAAAAACTAACTATTTCAATGTTCCGGATTTGGATCTCCTACCGGTTGATTAGGATTTCCACTTCCTCGCAATCGCGCCAGTGACGCTTGGAAGAAAAACTAGTTGCCCAGCTTATGCTATATTCACGTATTTCTATATTTTGATCATATTTTGTACTGATACCGAAATGCGTAATTTTGAAATTTTCAAAAATGGACTTAACGCAAAACCCTAGTGATTTTTCTGCTTAATTAGTGGATAAGCTGAATATTTAAAGAAAAAACTACTAATTGATATTTCATCTGAATTCTTACTTTCAGATTTGGCTGGGTAGTTTTCGAAAAAAAAATTGAAAAAGATTCCAAAAAAATTGAAAAGTTGGCTTTTCCTTAATTCACATTTTTTTTCTTTTAAAGCATCTGGGAACAGACTCGTATGCAGGGAAGATTTCCACAGCCTAATTTTTAGATTAAATCCTTAATATCGGCTTTAGCTAGTAGCTTTCGAGATCAGTGGTGAAATATCTTTTTTTTTAAAAAACCGGAAAGAACTTCAAAAAATGGATTTTTCCGATGTCCATTTTGGCTTTTCTACAAAACAATTAAGGCGAAACAGATTACCACAGAAAAATCTAAGCACGGTGTTACTTTGAATGAATTATCAACCTCAGAATCAGCAAGTTAGTTTTTGAAGAAACAAAAGAAGTTTCCAAAAAACGTGCAAAGCTTCAAAAATTGCACAATTTCTAAGGCTATATTATTTCAAAACGCAGGGCATAGCTGCTTGCGCAGGAAAGATTTGCATACGACGTTTTTTCTTCCGGTTGAACTTTTATTCTCCGATTTGGCAGGGTAGTTTTTTTTTAGAAAAGTAAAAAAAATAAAAATTAACCAAAATGTCAAAAAATGGGCTTCTTTGAGGCCATTACATTTTTAATTTTTCTCACAAATTTAGGGAATAGCCGCTTGAGAAGGACAGATCCCAATGATTAGTTCTTTTGTTTAAACGTTCATCTCAGATTTATGCATTTATTATTTGAGAAAATGAACAAAATGAAAATCAAATAAGTGAAAAATCCCCCTATTGAAACTTTCGAAAGACGTAGAACGTGGTGTAAACTGAAAAGAGACTAGCAAAAAAGCAGGCAGATAGAAGAGCAGCCAGTTTTTCTAATGACACCGAATGTTCAATTAATATTTATTACAGCAATTAGTCCTCTTTTCGTTCGATTTGAGGGCAAGCACGTTGTCGAACAATTAATCGTTTCCCGCCAAAAAGTCTTCAATTTGTTTGTTTAGCTCGTTATTAAGTTCATTGTCTAAATCAGACCCGTCTCCTTGTCATTCACCTTGGGGTATTCACCTTCACCTTACTTTCTTCCATGCAGTTCTGTTGACCATGTCCTGTAGCTTCTGTATTGGTTCTGGTTCAGCCCCTCCTGTTGATGATGACGCGGAGGATGAACTGGAGATTCCACATGCGAGCACTTCTTCCAGATTGTAGACTCTGATCACTCTGTCTCCACTGGACACTATGAAGTCACTGCCACTGCGAGCGAACACTATCTGCTTGATTCCTACAACGCACAACTTCATCATCATCATCATCATCATGATTACTATCAGCATGATTATCAATATTACTAGCATTAACCGCACCTTCGGTGCTTAGAATTTTTAACAATCGATAAAAAACCGTTAACATTGGAAATGAATTCTGCATCCTTGAGTGTACTCTGACAGCACCGGGTTACAGGGTTGGTAATAAGTTTTTAAAAAAAAATTTTATTCAGTTTTTTAATTCAAATTTTTAGAAACCATTTCAAAATTAATAAAGAAACATCACATCTCGTAATCTAAAATCAATTGGGCAGAGGTAATTGGACGCAAGATTTGCAACTCCTGAGAGAGCTCTTACAGTACCCAACTACAGCGTTCGGAATTTCAGATTTTGAGAAACTTCAAAATTAAGTTTAAAAAACTTTTTTGAAAAACCAGAAAAAAAACGTCATATCTCGAAAAATAACCGAAGGAATTGAGCAATCACAATTGAATGCATTATTCACAATCACTGACAGTACTCTGACAGCCCCCAACTACAGAGGGTCAGGAACTTTAAAACTTTTTTAAAAAGTTGAATTTGAGTTTTCTGAAATTTTTTTGAAAAAAAAAAAAAAAAAAAAAACGTGATATCTGGAAAACTACAAAGACTTGAGCAGTCATTTTCAGAGGCAAGATTTGCAACCCCTGAGAGTATCCTCACCGTTTCCAACAAAAGGATTTAGATCTTCAAAATTTTTGAATATTTTTTATTATTTAACAAAAAACTTTATATATCTGTTTTTTGAAAAGTTTTGAAAAAATCATAAAAAAATGTCCTATCTCGAAAACTACAAGGATTTGAGACGTGAAATTTGCAGGCAAGATTCGCAACCCCTGAGAGTACACTGACAGCCCTCAATTACAGGGTTGAAAATTTCAAATTTTCAGAAAATCAAAATTAAGTTTTTTATAAATTTTCGAAAAATCTCGAAAATTTATCTCGTAACTAATAGGAATTGATTATACATATATGGAGGCCAGAATCTCAAAAGCTGGGAAAACTCTGACAGCATCCCACTATTGGGTTGCTTATTTCAAAGTTGATGAAATAAACTGGAAATCGAAAAAAAAAATTCTTAACCATTGCAATATACGATATAGATTAAGCGTGCAAAAACGCTTCTCTTAAACATGCAAAAATAATACGTTGAAAAAGCTGAAACATGGCGAGATAATGGAGCCCGCATTTAAATATACAATAGATTATCATTATTATTATCAGGTAAGAACCAACAGAATATTTCTGTCACTCGAATTATGATTCATGAGAAAGATATTCGTTTTCAGTTCACATCATTCAACTATTATTCTGTGATCTGAAGTGACTAAATTCTGCTGCTAAGACAAAAATCATAATTCTGCTGCTGACCAAGATGACGAAAAACAAATTTTATTTCTATGATTATTTCTACAAAGTTTCTTTCGGAAAAAACGGGCCAAAAATCATAATATGCCGCCAACACTTTGATGTCTGACATAATCTGGTAAAATTACTCGTTACAGCAAATAATGACGCTTATGTGAGGTGATGGCGGGGAGAAAAAAGCCAGCGTACCTTGTGACGAACTGGCAGATATTCTGAATGATGCCACCACTTTCAAATCCTCAGTTCTTATAACCAAAACTTTCCCCTTCGAGTTCCCAGTTATAATATGCGCCCCTCTCCTATCGAATATGGCACATACATTAGGTTCTGCTCCTGCTGAAACTGAGTCTGTGTCTAAGGGCAGGGTGGAGTGTTTTCCTGAGACAGACACGAGAACAGCCGAGTGTTTCATTGGACATACCAGGAACTGGTCTGAGTTTCTCGGGTGGAATTGGGTTGTGAGAACTATGGACGGAAATCTGTACCTAAAATGTGCATAATTTTCATCATAAAAGGTAAGAATGTACTTGGTTAATTCCACCCCCCCCCCCCCCCCTATATGCAAGTCTACATTAATATTCAACACAAATTTTATACAAAATGATGCTTTTCAACTTATCTTATGCATATGATAACTACCAAACTGCATAAATTATATTTTCCCTTTTAACTGAAATTTCAGTTTTCAATGATTTTCAATCAATTTGATTTTAGTATTTAGTGTCACTAATTGCGATTAAGACGATTATCTAAGTAGTCTGGGTGGGTTGGTGATTCCGGTAATTAAGCACCTAAGAGTATAGGTATATGAAGTTTCTATATCTACTAGGCTAATAAAAAAACTGCAAATAACATTACATTTTCCCAGTTAAGCCCAACTATTTATCTATTCTCTGCGTTGGTATAAAATAGAATCGAGCTATAAACTAGGTCACACATGAACCAGCGAAAACCGAGCAGTTAAACACATAATACTGATGAAATAATTCTGAAATTTCTATACAAAAATCAACCTAGCTTGGTGAATTTACATATTCTGCTCATTTTCGGCTGGTTTATATATGGGTTATAGTCTTTACACTCATTGAATTGCACAGAACGTATGGAGTCGTAATGCGAAATGTAACAACTCGCAAAAAAAAGACAACGCGCATTAAAAGATAACTCGCAAAAAGGCGGTGAGTATACTGCGAGTTAAAAGATAACTAGCAGTAAACTCACCGCCGCAGTCGCGTCAACGTGTTGCGAGCTTGCCAAAAGAGTATAGGACGTTACACACACAAAAATTAAATCCGATTATGGCTAGTTGTGTTTTGTTGTGAGGTGTCGCGGTACCGTATGGAAATGTGTGGTGTACTTGCTTGTGTTCACACTCAGCAGACAGAACATCATGTATGGCCACATTCATGTCACTTGCAGCAGTCAAGATCTTCTTGCCATCTCTGGACCAGCTGATACTGCTCATAGGCTACACAACAACAACAACAATAACAAACAACTCTGGCTGATTCAGTACAGTTTCATCTAACATACAGATGTAAATGTAACTGAAACAGCTAGAGTTATAGTTCATCCAAAGTAGTTTCGACTCTTAAGAATTACCATCTGTTTCTGCTAAGGTGAATTTTGCAACCGTTCGAAAACTCCCGGGTTTTCTATCAATTTTGTACTCTGGTATTACAATACATTAGGAGAGAAGCTATTTTGCCAAAAAAAATGCACCGCAGCTGAAAATTTCAGAACAAAGCTTAAAATCTCAAGGTTTTTGGCAATTTAATCATGCTTTCATAGCGCAAGTACAGAACCATGATTCTTCGTTTACGTAGACTTTTCGAGGTTATAAATTGAACACAAGCATTCGGTTCAATTTTCACTTACCTGTACATGACTCTGAATGATCTTCGATATTCCCCTGGTTAGGAAGTCCCATATGATGAGTCTCCCGTCATTACAGCCCACAGCGAACAGAGTACCCCACCTATTGAATGCACAGCAGTTTACAAACGCCACACAGTCCAGAGAACCGTCCAGCTCTTCCGGGTAAGTGTGGCCAAACGATTCCAGAAGCTCGATGTTCATTTTTGTTTGCAAATTCTAGCTGTAAATTCTTTTTATTATTTCTTGTGTGCTATTTCAGGCCAGATAAGTCAGCGTCTGTTCAGCGCACGCTCCACTTCAAGAAAATAGGATCTCTTAACGAATATGGAACTTCATTGATTTTTCACCTCACATTTTTACATATTTCAGATCTAAAATTCAATAATCGACGGATTTTTGATCTAACGAAGAAAAGTATTTAACCCAATTTTATTGATTAACAGATGGAAATTAAAAAGTTTAGTTTGTACAAATTAATTTGAAATTAGTTTTTGGTACAATTAGTAAGCTATTCTGTACTACAACAGATGAAATTATCTTTTCTTGGGTCTAACACAGCTCATTCTCCGCCAACCTAAACAACAAAAATAATTCAGTCGAGAAGCGCTGAAAAGAGATCTTAGATGAGCCGATATGATCAGTGATGAAAGAAAGGGTAACTAGCCAGGTCACTTAAAACATGATGAAAACCACTTAGTTAAAAACCACTGTGGCAACAGTCAGTTAACAATAAATTTAAAAAATCATGATGGGTTTTTGAACATTTCATAAGCACAATCCAGATTCAAGGATTTTCTTATCGTGAACCTGCTGCACTATATGAACACTTCTCCTAAATTCACCTTTTAATCGATCACCCCCCCCCCCCCCCTAAAATTGGATAATCGCAAGCGTAAACAGTAAGCGTCAACATGCAAAATGCTGAGCTTTGATAAGCCGATAAAATGTTTTTCACCAAATGAACGATCTCCGCCTTTATTTGTTTTCGGGAGAGATCGTTCAATTTGGTTCAAAAAGTATTTCTAGCTTTGTTTTCAAATAACCAACTCACATTAATGGCTTCCATTTCCCATTCCAACGCCTGTTTCCTTCTAAATCTCTGTGGCAGCCTCGCAAAGTCCATCTTCTCCTGATCTGTACTCGCAAACTGGCTAGCCAACACTTTTCTGTCCAGGGGATTCACACTGGTTGAACTGCTGGGACTAACTAGCTTTGCACTTGTTTTGGCTAAGTTGGACGTTGGACTAGAGGCTACTTTCGCTCGGAGTCTGTCGGGAAAACTAATCAGTGGAGTGCGGAAGCGAGCAAATATAACCTAGGCACATTTGAGCGAAAACTAAGGCAAAATTTAGCAAACTTGTAGTTCCAGATTTGTCTTTGGCGAGCGGTGGTGATGTGGTTACGTCTCCAACTCTCAATCGAAAGGTCGGATGCTCGAGACCCCCCATGATCCGTGCTCGTTGCTTGAGGGTGAGGCAACATTACCCAGCCCAGAAAAAAAGCCGAAACAATTTCATGTAGGTCTTAACCAGGATCACAACAACGGCTCTCCGTCAAGAGCTGAACAGCTCGTATGTTGGATCTTTCCGTTGAGGATAAATCGTCTTAATCTTTTATATACGAATGTGAATCGTATGGTTGTTTTTGAGCTTAACACATCGTGATAAAATACAGATCTTAATATGTTAAATGATTGTAGGTCTGCGGACTCACCTGATATTTCGTGATGAAATTCAGAACATTAGAGGACACGATAACATGTGCCATGCTCACTCACTACTATCTGAAAAAACCACTAACTAACTAATATAGGCGTGCGCAATCAAACTCTTTAAATTAGAACAATCTCAGTTTTGTTCCTGGTGACAAAAACTGAATTTTTCTAGACAGAGGCGAAGCGGCGCTTCACAACACTTGCGATGCAAAAAAAAATCTGATAAACGAAGTTGAAAAAATTACTTGAAAAAACTTCTGCAACCTTAAGTTGAAAAGAATTTTCGACAACAATAACTAGAAAATTGAAAATTAATTACCGAGCAGCAGCACCAAATTTTTGACTGAGCCGATACAACAAACTGACAGCTGTTGAAACATTTAAAAAAGAAAAGAAAAACATGAAAATTAACCCAAAATCAGACTTGGTAAACTTACAAATTACTGCACTTTCAGTAATAGTAAAAAAAAAACTGTTTAAATTGGAACAAAACAAATGCTCTAGAAAAGAACCCAATCAAAAACCTATCAGATAAAAAATGGCGTTCAAAAAAAAACGGAAAAGGAACCGACATAAACTAGGGCGAAAACCGATCCCGAATAAAAAATGGATATATATTTTTTAAATTACAACCTGAAACGGATTTTATATAATTACTACTCAAATTATGGTAGGTTTTTTTGAATGTTCAAGAGATTGAGCATGCAAGAAGATGAAGGAGTCCACGATATGAAATGATAAGTCCTGTTCCTAAAGTTATTTAAGGAAAAAAGTCTAGTACCCGATTGCAATACCCTTGCTTATCGCAAGGGTAATCAGTTGATTCAACTTGAACAAAGAAGTGAAGCCAAGCTTCGCAAAAAAATTGAAAAAAAAGCAAAACAAAATTTAAAATTTGTGTCTGGAATGATAACCAATTTGACGAAAACACAATAGCTAGTGTTAAATTAAAATTCATCGAGCGAATATCAATTACAATGAATATCAATGAAAAATTTTTGATATGATTACAAAGCCGACAAACATAAGCAGAAAAACAAAAGGTTGAACTCTTTTTTTGAAACGCAAGATTTTGTGAGAAAAAAAACATGACCTGGTCAGATTCTAGCCAGACAGAAATTATTCAATTGATTTTGTTTCACAACTTGTTAGCCACGAAAGAAGTGTTTTATTCTAGCCCAATTGAGAATAAAACGGGCGCGAGAGATGTTGAGGTTCCTTGATAAAGCAAAATCTATTTCCTATAGATTTCCAAAAGAAATTGTTTACGGGAGCAAAGTCTAGTTTCCGATTAAAATACACTTACTCTCGCAACAAGTGAAACAAAATTGAGATACTTAATTATTCAGATCGGCAATTTAGTTGTTATAAGCAATCAATGCGGTTCAATTGAAGGCTTGTAATATGGACGGAAAACGAAAACATTCAGACCTGTTTTTCTCAAAAATTTTTCAAAGTATGTTTTTGGCACCAATCCACGACTCGAAAATTCATACGATAACCCACTCAATCAAAAACTAGATTGTTTCAATATATTTGCCATGACGTGAAAAATCCAGCGCTGGGCTATAACTCTTCCAACTCCGGAACAATAACTGTACATTTGGGGAGCACTCAAATCTAACAAACACTTAGCAAAGAATTAAATTCGGGTTCGAACTCTCATACATCAATTTATTGTATTTGCATTTTACATTGCGTTTTCAAGCGTTTTAAATTGAAACCACGATCAAATAGCACACTATTCTCCACAATCTTTAAGTAACAATTATTCGTTCAATCTACATTTTAAAGCGCCCTTTCAATTCATTGCTTGGTATTTTACTGTTCTGTGCTCTTTTGACAGAGTGGAAAACCGATCTAGGCGATCGAAATTCTGCGTCATTGACTACTTCTTGACTATTGGGCACTATGCTTGGTCGTGATTCGAAGCCTTTTCTAAAGGAGTTCTCGCCCGGCCGTTGGCTTCGGAAATTAGTTGGCGCACGAAATTGGTCGACGAAGCTAGAGTTGCTTGCAGGCTTTCTAACAGGAGGCTGTTTAATTAAAAAATACCAAAAATCAACTCTTTTTTGTTAGAATTGTTACCATTTAGGTCAATAACAGTAATGATTACTTAAAACGAATCAACTTTCGTTTTTATTAGGAGCAAATTGAATTTCGAAATAAAAAATGCTTTGTTAACAAGGAAGAAACAGACGGATACCTCTCGGTGATTGGACCCGATTGATGAACCGGTGTTATTTTGGAAATCCAGAAAAACCTTGATCTCTTCTTTCACTTTTTCCTCGTGCCTAGCTTTGAGTATTCTGCCATATTCTTGATTTTCAGTTGGATTTCGGTCGTGCCGGTCTTTTCGGTGGCTTCTATATGCCGCGTCAGAAGCATTTTGATTATATGATTCGAGCTTTTGTCTGTACCGGTTTAATTCAACCTTGCATTCCTAAATATTCTTATTTAAATTTCATTTTTTTGAACTATCTTCTAAAACGGTCAAAACTTCAACTTAAATAATCATACTTGCAATTCTTTCTTCATCTTTGTGATTTCTTTGTCTTTATGTTCAACCTTGCTTTTGAACGAAACTTCTATTTCTGTAATTTTAGCAGACAATTTTTTGTTCAGAATCTTTTCCCTGTGCTCCATTACTTCATTCATATTTTTGATTGTTAATTGGAAGAACTCCAATAAATTTCTGTTCCTTTCATCAGTGGCAGCAAATGACTCGTTTGCAATTTTCTCCCGCCTCTCCTAATTACATCTATTTATCTCAATTCTATAAATTATATCCTATAATAATACTGTTTTCATTTAATACTGTGCCTGTTTAATTGATCTCTTTACAAATTAAGGTTTGTATAGTACTGGGAGGATCATAATAGTTTTTAACAGCCAAATAGTGTATAACACTTAATTTAAATAGGTATGCAACTCAAAAGAGCACCTAAACATCTACGACAGTGGTTCCACGCGTGCACCGGTTGTTCAATAGGTTATACCCACGCTTTAAGACTACCTATGTTTCATATGAATAAGCTAACAATGCTGCTAACTTTTGTGGAAAACATCAATCTGTAATCTGGATTCAGCTTGGCTAACGATTGCACCCGGACACTGCCCTTGTTCTTACAAGATATGCATCCATATTTCATTAGTTTTTCAGAGCACGGCTTGCAGTAAATGTGCAAGCAATTCGTTAAGTTTAACTCTGCCACACTTCTGAAGTCCAACTTAAAGCAGCCTAAACAAATAGCACGCAAAAAATCTATAGCGTCCATATTAGACCTGAAATTGTTCTGTGATTTGAGGAATCAAATACACATCAGGCTTTGCTGTTTCACTTTACAAAAAAAAATAATTTCATAAAACTTTAACTACGATCTCTGCGACAGCTGAGAAACACCAATATAAGAACATACAGAGTTTGGATTGATTATCTCATCATCGGTCATTTTATACAACGCTTTTACTGCCTTTGGGTCAACAAGCATCCGTATTTCTTCAAACGGTACCACGCTTCCTTCCACACTTTGGCGAACACTTTTCATTTTGGATCCATCTTCATCGTCAAGAGTAACAGCTAGTACACTCTTACTTTGATCAGTAATCGATATTGATTTCAGAGCTTCAGATATTTGGTGCTCCGGATGAAGATTAAAAATAATTTCAGTGTTGATATTTTTGGTTTTCATTGTCTGATTTAACTCCTTTAGAAAGGCACTTTCAGCTGCGCAAAATAATTGGGATTGTCCAGTTACAAGAGACGGCCGTATCAGGGCACAATCAAGAGAGCCCATAAAGATAAGCTCGCGAAGTTTTTTCGAATTAGTTACATTGTTGAACAAGGAAACTCTATATATCTTTGAGCAGCATAGGGCGGTATGCGTTTTCTCTAACTCCACCATCGTCTTTCTACAATTCAATGAGTAAATCAAATTTAAACAAAAAAAACGCCGTCACAATTGCCAAATACGAATATTTGAAAAAAAAAACTGTACTGTTAAAGCTGGAAACTATAAGAACATAATGCCTAATCAACCAGAAACTACCTAACTTCACCTAAGAGCTTCTGCAAATGGCTTAAAAGAACTCTTCAATCGTAAAATGATAGTTGATAATTTTAAACAGGCGTGAAACAAACTTATTTATGGTAAACTATTTATTCACAAAGTATATAAACATATGAAAGGGGTTCTGATATTAATGCAAACACATGTGAGATTACAACCCGCCCCAGAATGAAGCAAACCCAACAATCATCAAATTTAGATCCAAAAACGGCAGAAATATTACAATTTTTCCAAAACGGTGCAAAATTTTTTAGGAAATACTAGTTTCGCATTTTTTCTTGGTGCAAACTTTGGCGATTATTTAATTTATTTAACCTATTATGCTGAATATTAAATTCTGGTTGTTTTGTGCAATTTTTCTAATTTCCAAGGCTCAGATGGAAACTAAAGAAAAAACTATTGTTTACTGGGGCTATCTAAGCTGCCAGCAAAAGATATTATCAACGAAATGTGGGATAAATGAGCGGAGAGCTACCACACTGACTCATCTTTTCCTTTTCGCGTTGTTACTGACCCAAAGTGGGGATGTTGAAAAAAACCCTGGTCCTATCGAAACCATTGAAACAGTCTACGGTATCTGCTCAAAAAATTGTGCAAATCTTAAATTTGTTCATTTGAATTTTCAAAGTATTATTAGAAAACGGATGCAATTGAAAAAATTTCTTGATGATATGGGCGAAAACACAATTATAGGAATTTCCGAAACGTGGCTTAAAAAAGAAGATAGTGACAATTTATGGAATTTCCAACCTAGAACGCATGCGATGTTCAGATATGATAGGCAATCAGCGGTAAAAAAGAAAGGCGGTGGCGTTTTGTTATATATACCAGTCAAATTGGCTCCGAAATTGAGGCCTGATCTAAATTTATTTGATAAAGAAAAATATGAGTCAGTGTGGGTTGAGTGCAAATCTACATTTAACATTTCGAGTAAAGAAAAAATGTTAGTTAATTTGTGTTATAACCCAAGCAGATCAAACTTTATTGATTTTTTGGAACAATTAACGCTTAACATAGATAATGCTTTTTCAGTTTCTAATAAAATTACGCTTTTGGGTGATTATAACATAAATTATCTGGATAGCAAAGAAAAAGAAAATTTAGATTCTATAATTATCCCATATGGATTGAAGGTTTTTTGTCCAAACGATGAGACCAGAATTAGTTCCTCAACAAAAACTCATATCGACTACATAATCAGTGACTATGAAACAAACGGCATTGAGTTTTGTTTTGATACACCTTATAAAACCGACCATTTTGCTTCATTTATTTTGACGGATATAAAATGCGGCAAAATTTTACCGAGGATAATTACGACTTTCAATAAGAAAAATTATCAGAAAAATGAATTTTGCAATTCACTCTCCGCTCTTCCTTGGTATCTCTTATATCAATGTACAGACGCACAAAACATGTTCTCGACGATGACTTATTTAATTTCTTGTGCTCTACAGCAACATGCTCCTATCGAAAAAAAGTTTGTTCGTAATTTTAAACCAAAAAACGTGTTGAAAACGGAATGGTTCGATTCAGAATGTCAGCAATTGTTGACTAAGAAACAGAATTCACTCAGATCATATCGCAGTCAAAGCACAAGCGATAATTGGTCAAAGTACCAGTTTTTACGTAATCAAATGAGCAAATTGATTAGAAGTAAACAATTCGATCATTCAAAAAATTGTTTTTCACTTCTCAGCACTATCCAACAAAAATGGAAATATATTAACCAAGTTAGAGGTACATGTTCTGGCAACCATCGAATTACAGTTCTACGAAATTCCTTCAGTGAAATGATAACCCAAGACAAAAAAATTGCCAATCATTTAAATTATATTTTTTTCAAACTTAGGCGAATTTTTCGGCGCTAAAAAGCCTCCGAATTACAACAAATCTGCCTCTGAATCTGCATCTTTTCATTTTCAACACATTACAGTGAAGCAATGCTTTGATATAGTTCGAAAAATCAATGTTGGAAAACCTCTCGGACCTTGTACCGTACCTGCTTGGGCAATCATTGACGGTCAATCAGTTATAGTTCCACATTTAACTTTTGTCAAAAATACTTGCTTAGATGAGAACATTTTCCCGATCGAACTGAAAAAAGCAAACGTAACCCCTTTGTTCAAAAAAGATGACCCAATGGATGCAAAAAATTATCGGCCAATATCAATAACTTGTGCTTTTTCTAAAATTTTTGAAAAAATTTTACATGCCCAAATAACAGAACATCTTGACAAATTTCAAATAATGACACCATTTCAATTCGGATTTCGCAAAAACATTTCAACACAAGATGCTCTTGTTTATGTGACAGAAAGTATTCGAAATCAAATAGATTCAAAAAAAATCGTACATGCAGCTTTATTAGATCTGTCCAAGGCTTTTGATTCTATTTCGCATGAAGTTTTAATTGAAAAAATGCTTTCTCTCGGTTTTTCAAATGGAGCAAATGCTTTAATTGCTAGCTTCCTAAACAAACGTATTCAAAGAGTAAACGTCAATGGAATTTTTTCAGACTGGATTGAAATAAAACGAGGTGTCCCACAAGGAACGGTACTTGGTCCGTTGTTGTTCAATATTTATGTTAATGACATACAAGAGCGATTATATGAGGGTTGTACTTTAGTTCAATATGCTGACGACTGTATGGTTTTTTCCTCTTCTATAATTTCTGAGGATGCTTTGAATCGATTGCAAAAATCACTCAATAATCTAACGGAATTTTTTGCAGAGAACCAATTGAATCTGAATGCATCTAAATCGGAATTTATAACATTTTGTCAAAAAAATGATAGCAAAAATCTGGATACTGATAAACTAGTAATTAGTGGGCATTATGTAGCCAAAAAATCAGAATGCAAATATTTAGGCATAATTCTTGATTCAAGTTTATCTTTTCATGCTCAAATCAAAACAATTCTCCAAAAAATGGCCCAAGGGATTAAAACTATTGATACAATTGGACAACAACTGCCGACATTATCATTAGTTGCCTTGCTTCATTGTCTTGTTTTATCACATTTAGATTATTCAGCAATTTTTTTACAACAAATTAATGCTACTTTGATGCTATCTCTGGAGAAACAGTTGAACTGGGCGCTAAAAAGAACATATTTCAGATCGAATTTTAAATCTTCTTCCCTTCTTCGCATTAGCAAATCGTTCATTGGAATCGAGAAAAGAATTGAGTTAAAGTGTATAACATACTTATACCAATATCTTACAAACAAAAAGAAGGCTTTTGAAAATACACTGAGACTACCGACTGCCAATTATAGGCTCAACGAAAGAACGAAACAAATTATTTTTGACAAACATTGTTCGACTGCTTCTCTACAAAAATCATTTTTTCATTTGACTTCTAAAAAGTGGAATTCACTGCCCATAATTTTGCGCAATTTAGAAAAATCGAAAACAGAATTCAAGAAAAAATTGAAAGAATTTTACGTGAGTGAATTGAGAAACAATCCTATATGTACTAATACAAATACGTGGCGTGATTACCGTTTTTGCTAGTTCTATATTTTTTAATTCAGTTTAATTTTTCACACATTGCTTGAAAGAGAAACTGTATATACTCTGTATATACGTTGTATAATTGGACTATCTGTAAAATTGTTTGTAAAGTTTTATTACCAGCTTGTTCCTAATTCTTAAATCTTTAATTTTCTATAGTATCCGAAACTTCATATACTTTAATCAACCAATTTCCGAACTGTAACCGATTTTGTTTTTTTTTTGTTTTGTTTATTGCTTGTTTTCTGATGTTTTGTTTTTGTTTGATGTAACCAATGAATTTATAACCAATTTTATTATTTACACTTTGCTACACTGATGCCTCGGCTTTTTATTGTATAGTAATTCAAGTGTTCTTTCTTCTTCTTCTTCTATGAGAATTTAAAATTGTCAATTCAAACGCTTTCGCCAATTTTGTGCATCGTCAGGACTATCTTAAAAAGCTTATAGAAAAGGATGAAACAATGTCAGACGTAATGAAAATATCAAATTAACAAAATTCACTATCAAAGTCGAATAACTGTTATTACGTAATAAATTACACCATTAATTTTCAGTTTCTTTAAACTTCTGATTAGTTTTCCTGGAACATGTCAATTTCGTTTTATTTAATTTTATTTAACTTTTTATTTAGCTATGTTCATACATTTCAATGGTAATCAGAAGGTCAAAAGTATCATAGTAACCGAGGTTACA